TCAAATAAAAATGTGGGCACTTACTGTAACAAAATATACCATTAAAGTAAAAAATAAACTCTAAATAAACTATGTTCACATCCAGAATCAAACCCAGGTATTTTGCATGAGAATCTGACGTCTTACTAGGTGAGCTAAAGCGCCAGCAACTTCCTTTGTATCTGTAACTTTTATATCCTTGATGACAGCTGAAACAATGTTCAAAGAACGGTTCGGAGCAAAATGGCAATTTTGTTGCTAATTTGCAGGAAATATCTAGAAGAAAGTTCTTCAGAAAGTAGCTAAGGGTCCTCAGAAATGTAGCTAGGTTCATCACTAGGCGTTAGGAACAGCGACAAAGTCGCTGAGTTGGCACTACCTCACTCTCTGCTGCTAAAGCTACGGATAGCAAATGCTACGGGCGATGCCTGAGCGTGAACGCGCATGAAGCAGCCTGCTCAACCCGAGCAACTCTCTTTTTCTGTGATTTTACAGAAAAACAGGCAATCACAGTAAAAATGCCAGGGCTCATTCTACAGGACCACGGCATTGCAGGAGAATGTATGAAGAAGAAATTCATTATTTCTATACATGTTTTGGCTGTCAAACTTCCATTATGCCCCTTTAAAGAGGATGTTTCTAAATTTCAGGAAAGAACCACCCCCTCCTCATTTTGGAAAAAAAAAATGCACATGAGAAAGAACGCCCAGTTATCCTCGTTACAAGTAGGTGCTGGCCTTGCGGCCAACTTCTTCTTCTAGCAGTAATCTAAAATGAATTTCTCCAAATAGTAAGCCGAACATTAGCTTGCCTGTCGAGCAGAAACCCGCCAACAGAGGCATCTGTGGGGAGCCCAACCTTCGCTTTGTGCATGCGCAGAAAGTGAAACCTACCCAGCAACGTATGACAACATACAACAACAGCCTTGTGTGAATGGTTAACCAAGATGATTGACATTTTAGCGGACCAGTGGTTCAGATGATTCACCCGGAAGAAAAAGACCCTTTGCTATACCTTTAACATTCATGGACTCACCCATCTTGACTCACTACAGGGAAGGCTGTTATTGGCTTAATGTCCAGGAAACAGCAGAGAACATCTCGACTAGCAGAAGCTAACCATTAGCATAAGCAACTGCACCACATGACAGAAGTTCCTCCATGCTTGTGTAATTTGTGGAGATAAAACGCCAATGTTGCAGAGCAAACTGAGTCTATGGTAGAGTTGTGTTGCTGTAAAATTTCAGGAAATAAGAATCCAAAGCCATGTTCTGCCACTCTCTACTCCAGTTGACTTCTCCATGTTGATACTGGTGCTTCTGTTTTTTTATTTTGTTTTTTTTTTGCCTCAAAGTACGACCTACAAGGCATTAATCGCACAAGAGACCACTGCAATTGTATTGATAAAAGAATGTTCAACACCTTGAAAGTCAAATCTTTAAACTAACATTACAGTATGTGCAACCTTGTACAATATTGCAAAGTCTCAAATGATCCATTAGCATTCAGAATGCATAATGAGAATGGCTCTTTATCCCAACTATATCAAATTGTTGCTGAATATTTTAAATTGCGTGGTATTGTCACTTTGTTGTTCGCTAATGTTGATTTGCTGTAGTTGATTGAATCAATCTGTTCGTTTTAGATATACATCCACAATTACCTTTTTAAAGTTATATTATAATCCAAGAATCTGGCAATACATTAAATATCAAATACTGGTGAGATAATATCGTGCTAAAAGCCTGAGGGTATTTGCAATTTTTAACTCTGAATATAACATGAAAACTCACACCAGACACACACGGAAATCCCCGGGCCCGGACGGTGTCTCCCCCGCTACCGTGAGACACTGCGCAGAGGTATTGTGTCCAATCTTCACGGACATCTTTAACATCTCCTTGGAGTCCTGCCATGTTCCAGCCTGCTTTAAGCTGTCCACCATTGTCCCTGTCCCTAAGAAACCCCGTATCACTGGACTGAATGATTACAGGCCTGTGGCGCTGACGTCTGTAGTCATGAAGTCTTTTGAGCGCCTGGTCCTCCCTTATCTCAAGTCCTTCACCTCCCCCCTCCTGGACCCTCTGCAGTTCGCATACAGAGCTAATAGGTCTGTAGACGACGCCATCAACCTGGCCCTCCACTTCATCCTGCAGCACCTGGACTCTCCGGGAACCTACGCTAGGATCCTGTTTGTGGACTTCAGCTCTGCGTTCAACACCATCCTCCCTGCTCTGCTCCAGGACAAGCTCTCCATGCTCAACGTACCCAACTCCACCTGCAGGTGGATCACTGACTTCCTGGCAGACCGTAGGCAGTGCGTGCGGCTGGGGAAGAATGTTTCCACCACTAAGACAATTAGCACAGGATCTCCACAGGAATGTGTACTTTCTCCTCTGCTCTTCTCCTTGTACACAAACTGCTGCACCTCAAGCCATGACTCCGTTAAACTGATCAAGTTTGCGGACGACACCACCCTCATCGGGCTCATCTCTGACGGTGATGAGTCCGCCTACAGGAGGGAGGTGGAACGGCTGGTGTACTGGTGCAGCAGCAACAACCTGGAGCTCAATGCTCAGAAGACAGTGGAGATAATTGTGGACTTCAGGAAAGTCACAGCCCCATCTCTCCCCCTCGTCCTGACGGACACCCCCGTCACCACTGTGGACTCCTTCCGCTTCCTCGGAACCACCATCACACATGACCTTAGGTGGGAGCCATCCTCAGCTCCCTGATCAAAAAGGCCCAGCAGAGGATGTACTTTCTGCGGCAGTTGAAAAAGGCCAAGCTGCCAGCCCAGATGATGGTGCAGTTTTACACGGCCATCATTGAGTCCATCCTCACCTCCTCCATCGCTGTGTGGTACGCTGGAGCCACAGTGAGGGACAAACATAGACTGCTGCGCATTGTGCGCTCTGCTGAGAAGGTGATTGGCTGCAGCCTTCCATCTCTCCAGGACCTGTACGTCTCCAGAACTCGGGGGCGTGCAGGTCAGATAGCAGCTGACCCTTCGCACCCGGGTCACAGACTTTTTGAGCCGCTTCCCTCAGGCAGGAGGTTACGGTCCATCCGGACCAGAACCTCCCGCCATAAGAACAGCTTCTTTCCATCTGCCGTTAGACTTGTGAATAGATTATAAACACACAACCATGCTCATCTTCTGTACTCGACACAACGTCACGTTATCCGCCATGTTACCATTACCTGCCATTTTTTATCGCTAAAAGTTTTATTCTAGTTTTTTTTAATTATATTTTATTCTATTTTTAATCTTATTATTCATTTTATATGTAGCACATTAGTACCGAAGCAAGTTCCTAGTTTGTGAATTGTTTGTTCACTGACAATGGCAATAAACCTATTCTGATTCTGACTTAGTGTAATTGCGAGATCCCTTTGTTCCATCAGAATGAAAGCAGTAAAAACTGCTGCCACCTAGCAGTCGGAGTTTGAATTGCAACACACAAAAGACATACAGTAAATGTTTGTATGTAAATCTTCAATAAAGACATTGATACAATGCCTAGAAATATCAATTCAGTCTCATATCATGAAATATCTTGATATCTTAGTGAATCAATATTTTCTTACATCCCTACTAACAGACAAGTAAACACACCAAGACACCTCACCTCTAATCCTCACAGGAGACAGAAGCCTTCACAACGAAACAAATACCTATCAACTTGTTTTATTATAATAATAAAATGGATTAATAACACCGATTTATCTTATGGATCAATGCATCAAAGACTTCGTCTTCGTCTTCGTCTTCCTCCGCTTATCTGGGTCCGGGTCGCGGGGGCAGCATCCCAACTAGGGAGCTCCAGGCCGTCCTCTCCCCGGCCTTGTCCACCAGCTCCTCCGGCAGGACCCCAAGGCGTTCCCGGACCAGATTGGAGATGTAACCTCTCCAACGTGTCCTGGGTCGACCCGGGGGCCTTCTGCCGGCAGGACATGCCCGAAACACCTCCCCGGGGAGGCGTCCAGGAGGCATCCTGACCAGATGCCCAAACCACCTCAACTGGCTCCTTTCGATCCGGAGGAGCAGCGGTTCTACTCCGAGCCCCTCCTGAATGTCCGAGCTCCTCACCCTATCTCTAAGGCTGAGCCCGGCCACCCTACGGAGGAAACTCATTTCGGCCGCTTGTATCCGCGATCTCGTTCTTTCGGTCATTACCCAAAGCTCATGACCATAGGTGAGGATTGGGACGTAGATCGACCGGTAGATCGAGAGCCTGGCTTTCTGGCTCAGCTCCCTCTTCCCCACGACAGATCGGCTCAGCGTCCGCATCACTGCAGATGCCGAACCAATCCGCCTGTCGATCTCCCGATCCCTCCTACCCTCACTCGTGAACAAGACCCCGAGATACTTAAACTCCTCCACTTGAGGTAGGACCTCTCCCCCGACCCGGAGGTGGCAAGCCACCCTTTTCCGGTCGAGAACCATGGTCTCAGATTTGGAGGTGCTGATCCTCATCATTTTGACTTAGGAGAAAAGAAAAGAGATCTCATGCATCAAAGACATCTATCCTAATGCTGTTTTAGCTTTCCATAGCACAAAAAGAAGCAGTAAATGCTTCCATTTAATGGAATCCATAAAATTAAACAAGTAATCAAAATGAAGACTTCAGTCCTGCCCATTGAACATTATAGAGATTATCATCCATATCACTTTTGTGCCTGTCCTGCTATTATATCAAACATCAGCCAACTTTCGCAACAGAGAACTCTTAGCATGACTCGCACCAACAGTCCACACATCCTCCGACATAAACCTCTCACACGCAGCAATCCACTCACGATTAATGAAGTGCTTACTTAACCAATTTAAACCCTTAATTCCTATTAATTCAACATAATAGCCACCCTCTCTAACAGAATTACAACACTCAAGCAGAAACCTGCAAATCTCCAAGGGCCCAGAAAGAGTCAACCCAGCAAATTCCACATTCTTTGATAAATATGTAACAGTATGTATATCACTGTGAAAATGCATAACCCTCGTGTAAGACCCCTATCAAGTCTGCTTTACACCTGTATTACATTTCTTCCTCAATCAGCAGCTTTTCTGAGACGCCAGCCTCCCGTGAGGAGCAGAAACCATTACAAGGCTCGGCAGCTCATTTGCAGAAAGATTGGAGATCACGCAGCATCAGAAAAGCATGTGAAACATTTTCTGAGAACAAAATTGATTTATTCCATTTTTGTGTTTGCATGCAGCATCAGGGCGAGTGTATTTAATGTAAATCCTCAATCTGGAGCTGATTTGGTGGGCAGGATGCTGCTTATTGTGCAAGTAAGGAACAGGGCGATCAAATAGCATAAAGGCAGGCAGGCAGGATGCAAAAAAGAACACTCTTTATGTATAAAATACAATCTGGCTTTCAAAAAAGCAGACATGCGAACATGAGATGTATATCATAAAAATGTTTGCAAATTATTAAAACCATTAAGAAGAAATTAATGCATTATGATAGATCATTTCTGATTGTGAATGCTCACACAAAGCTGACATTTAAACTGGGACAAAATATGAGTATTGTAATGTTGTGGGATAAAAACAATATGAAACAGAAAAAAAATCAAGTTTTATATATTTTTTAAAATCATTGTCAATGATATCAATGTGTTGCTACATCCTTGGATTAGTACAACACAATAAGATTTAATTATAATTTAGAATAAACATATTCCAATCCAGACTCTTTTAGAAGTAAGGTGCTGTTTATTTCAGCAAGACAATGTCAAACCAAATAAATATATATTATATAGTAAAAAAGAAAGGGGCCACTAAACTGGTCTGTGTGCAGTTCAAACCAGATAAAAACAAAAAATACACACAAATCAAAGATCTGAAACATTTTAATAACTGTTTTCAATTAAACATACAAGAATCTTCAATTATTAACTTATTTTTCTGGAAATTACTGATTTATTTAATGATATTATTTAATTACCCAGTCTTCAGCTATGATTAAAGCATACAGTATATGTAACACACCAAATTACCAAACCCAGGTTCCCTTTCTATGATCTGTTATGCTGCTTGTCTTGGACACAAAGAAATTGTGCTGTTCTTTTCTGAGCAAAAATATATCAACAAGTAAATAAATATTCCCCAATATTCCAATTTTGACTTAGGAGAAAAGAAAAGAGATCAAGTAAAGCCTGTGGCTAGAGGAGCCTGACTGCACGCTGGTGGGGGGTAAAAGACATCCTTCAGGGGTGTGGAGTGCGCCAGTTTGTTAATGAGCTGAAACTTTAAATACTGTATAATATATAATAAAAATGGATGCTACATTTCATTCTTTCAAAAAAAACTATTAAAATCCATTTTGATGTCAACAGAGTAAGCGTTAAGTATGAAGAGCATCATGGAGAAAGAAATGCAAAATAATAACCAGTTGGACATAAAGATAACTGTACAAGCTCAAGGACATTGGTTTAACACAATATGCTTAAAGATAGAAAAGCATAACTTTAATACTTGTCAGGAAAATGAGAGGTTCTTACATTTTTATTTAATGAGCTGTAAGGCGTGGGATTCCATAGGAAATATGAAATCCGCCTTACGGATCGGGGTTTATTCAAACCAGAAGATGGGATCTTTTTAATGCAGAGATTATGTAACCGGTATGTATTCACTCAGACAACAGAATAGAGAGTCAAGTTTAAAAGTTAAGAATTTTATTACTAACAAATTAAACTTGGCTGACTTCAGAACTAAGTGTATAGTGTAACTAAAAATGGATGAGATGGTGAATGGATGACGTATGATGTAATCAGAACCAGCAAATCTGAAGAAGCGATTAGTTCTGACGGGAACTGAAGATGTTTTGAAATAAGCTTTGGTTAGTTTCAGAACCGCATGAGACACCATCAAGCCGGGTCTACCTGCCTTGTGGAAGTCCTCTGTAGATCAGGAATGCCGAGGCCCAGCGGACCCTCTCTGGAAACCGAGCAAGTAGAAGAAGCCGCGGTTCCGACCAGACCCGCCTTGAGTTACCTCCGGCACACAACTCTTTTATTGGCATCTGTTCAGACCCAGCCTGGGTCGGTGGAGCTTTTATTCTGAAAGGAGCTGTTGTTGCCGATGGTTGTTATAGCGATTGGATTTTTCAGCTTGTCGTGGTTCTTTCGGTTGAAGAGTTAAAGGTCGGATTGGCCACTCCGACGCTTGCTCTGGAACGCTTTGAACTGGCGTGAGAGCTGACGTGGCATCTGTTTTATACCTCGGATGTTATGGTTTATTGTCAAATGAAAATGACCAAACACCGTCAGAAGCACCGTCAGATCCGTAAAGTTCTGATTGGATCAGTGAAAGAATGTGTTATGTCTTTTTAACACAACGTGAAATGAGTCCTGTTGGAATTCTTTAAAGTCATAGACTTATTTCCTAAGATCATAATAAAGTAATTAATATTTTAATTTCACAGGTCGGTCACATCTTATTATTGACTAACACTTTGATGGATTAGCTTTATTAAAATAGAGTTCTTTGATTAATTAAAAGAAAAGAGTTCATTCTTCGTTCTTCTTTCTTCATTGCTGGAACGTAAACAGTTTAGAAGTGAATGCATGACCTTGAGGCTGTTTCATGCACTCTGGGTCTGTGTCAAAAGGAAACAGCTGTTAGAGGGTGGAAATGGCTCCTTCATCACGTTACGTACTAATCAGTCCTAATTTGCTTACAAACTAAGATGTAAGAAAATTGATACACTGAAATATCACTATATTGAAACTCAATTGTTCAGATCATCAATTTATTTTTATTAGAGAATTTACATGCAGAAGTTTGCCTTGTTATTTTTTCTTGGAACGTGCAATTCAAATTCTGACTACTAGGTGGCAGTAGTTTTATCGCATTCCTTATGGTAGAGCATGTCTTGAATCTGGCCTGAGTTTTCCAATTAAATTTAGTCTAAAAATTGCAAATATGGTCTGGCTTTTAGTATCTAAATATATCATATTGCATCCCCTGTATTGTGTTTCATATCAGATTGCCAGATACTTGCCAATCCACACCTCTATTATAAACCGTTATCTGGAGTAATTTTTTTAAGTGTAAAGTTAAAACCAATACAAAGGGGGTTTGAAGAAAAATGAAAAATGGAGCCTGTTGTCATTCCTGGGGTGAACACATACACAAGAATGATTCATAAAGAGGAGGTCCACTAAGGAACGTACTTCTTCAATTTGAAATAGAACCAATCACTTTGAGATTCACAGGCTGAATGCAACAATAGTCTTCCAGCCCTGTGTTCAGCACCTATAGAGCTCCGGACCCCACGTGACTCTCAGTTAGTAGACGCCATATTGGCAGGAAAAAAGGTAAACAAACACGGATCGTAAACATGAACATGAACGGGATCAGCTTGGATTTTACTTCGTCGGAGTTTACTTCACACTTTAAAACCAAAGAAATTGTTTTATATAGTCAGAAGTTAAATAGACTAAACATCTCCGACCCTTACCGTGCCCCTGGGATACTTTTTAAAAAACGCCAGAAGCTGTCGGAGCGGACTTCTTACCGGACCTGGCCGGGGAACCCCTTGGGATTTCCCCGGAGGAGCTGGCCCAGGTGGCTGGGGAGAGGGAAGTCTGGGCCTCTCGACGCTACTGCCCCCGTAACCCGACTCCGGATAAGCGGATGAAAATGGATGGATGAACAAATAACAGATTTACATGTAAGTAGTTTAAATAGAGTGCTGTGCAGTTTGAATGTATAAACTGAACGCCAAGAGAAATCACTAGTCTGGTTTTTTTCCGTGAATAAAATAAATATGTCAGGCAGGAGCGTCTCAGGATCTGTCTGAGATCTGTCTCGGTGAGACAGATAATAGCAATCCAAAGTGCGTTTTATGTGTGATCTGACACTTGATCAACCATTGCTTAAAAATGAAATACAGCTTAGCCGGTTAATTGCTGTGATCATAACGGAAACGGCAGCACGCAGAATCACGAGGCACCGTTTTACGTGATGTTTACTTGTTACTATGAGTAATAAGACAGAAAAAGCCACGCCAAAATAAGCTTAGGAAGCCCACAAAGAATCGTAATAAAAGCATTTAAAATAAATACCATACACAGTTGAGGAAACGTTGGTTTAAGTACCTGATATGAAGCGGTCGCTGAATAAGTGAAAACCTTTACTCTCGGGATCCCACAGTTTCATTTTAGCCCGGTCACTAGCGTTTTATTACAATGATCCAACGTTTGCAGCGCTCCGGATCTTGGGGAATCCTGTAGATGGCTCATCCGTTATGTCGTCCGCGTCTGTAATGGCATCCTGGGGTACAACAGGAATCTACCATATTTCCCATTTGATTGAGTTTTCTGACAATAACAAATAGTCCAGCTGCGGGCTTCTGCATGCCAATATGGCACCGTTTCGATTTGAACTGTTGCATGCCGGGAGAAGTGACGTCAACTCCCGGAGCTCTATAGGAAATAGAGGGGAAAAGCTTGGATTAGAAAAGCCACTCAGATCTACATCACACTGTAAAATCTGCATTCATGGATTCACCCATCTTTGCTGCCAACCAGGGAAAACTGTTGTTAATTTAGCGACCAAAAGAGTAGATGCTAACTGTTAGCATTAGCAATGCCACAACATGGCAGAACATGTTCAGGGATATCATTATATGGTATATGTGGAGATAACACATCAATGCTGTAGAGCAGTGGTTCCCAACTTATTTAGCCGCGCACCCCCTTCTATGTCCCGACCATGTCGACGCACCCCTCAGCCCCCACATCAGGGCATGTATATATATATATATACAGTATATATATATATATATATCAGGCATCAAGCTAAACAGACAGGGTTAAAAAAAATATGATCGACCTTTTTCCCCATCACTTTCATTTTTTAAATAGTAATTAATAAACATTCAATACCATTACAATTTCCTTTGATTTAATTTTAAATAAATATTTAGAGTGCCCAGGCAGCACATCAATAATGCAATTTAACGGTTTTCTTAAAGTAGAAACGTTTAACCTGTGCAGCCAGGGCACTCTCCTTCCTTCTGCTCTGTGTAAACCTGAGCTGATCACCAACTTGTGCGTAATCAAATGTCTATAGGGGAAAAGATATTTTGCCTCAGACCGACTTATTGCTGTTTTATGGTGTGGCTGAATCTGCGATCCGCTGCCATGCGGACTGGAATAACAAATGCTGCAGTAACATGTAGTCAGGTTCGGAGTCACTGGCTGGAGCGGACCCGACTTTAATACGTCATCCAAAAATAGAAGCTAATATCTTAATTTGACCTGGAATGAAAAAGGTTGTTATAAAACCTCTTAAAAAATTTATCACAGAGGAGGCAGCGCTCATTTCTGTCTTCAGTCTGACGGCGCGCCGGAGTTTGCACAGCGTGCGTGCTTATTGAATCTGTGTGTGTGTGCGCGCGCGTGCGGCACAGCTCCATGAGCCGCTCAAGTCACCACGTCTCGTTATCGGCGCTATTTAAACCAATGTTGTAAAATTACTTGTGCCCAGCCCAGATGTGCTCACTTGTGCACCCGTGAGCCGTGGTTCCGCTGGAACGCGTCTGACCTCTGACAGACGCACTCTGAACTTCAGATCTTCAGCGCGCTGTTATAGCCTGAATGGGAATCATTTCTTCATTTATTTTGTTACATCAACAATGTTCTGTGTGTGAGGTTTACAATGTCAGAACACCTGCCTGAGACAGGGTCTTAAATCTGCCAGAATGACTCACCTTCAGATTCCTCCAACACCGTTAAAAATGATCAAATACGGAACATATCGGCGTGCACAGGCCAGAGTGCTGAAGCTCAGCACATTGTTATTATGAAGCTAGGGCACATGCGGAGGACATGCGCGCAAAAATATACTTGTTTTCAATTACATTTATTGGGCCCACTTACTTTTTCTTAGGCCCACCCACAAACGAGTTTCTGGCTACGCTAATGGTGACATATGACAGACTTCTCTGAGCTCCGCAGCCATTACACTTTTCACCTCGCGCACCCCCTAGCGGCAGCTCGCGCACCCCCGGGGGTGTGCGCACCACACGTTGGGAATCCCTGAGAGTGAATGAATGCACCGGAAGAATCATGTTGCTGTTAGCCAGTCAGAGAAGAGATTTTTGAATATCATAAATATTAATGAGTAAGACTCAAAATCCTGCCGTTTTACTGACACCCCCCCCCCCTCCCCCCCGCAACTCCTCCAACTAACTTCTACTTCCTGAAACATGAACAGAAAATGACTCACATGGGCATTTATCAATACTACAGACTACAGCAAATCTATTACAATAAAAATATGCCCACTTTATTGTTTCTCCACTTGACACAAGAAAAAAAGGTAATGTTTAAATGCCAAAACAGGCCAGAAAATATTAAATACTGACTTTAAATTTTTCTCCAAATCACTAAAGGTTGTTATTTACCTTCTCAGTGGCTGAGCGGTAGAGGTTCCACCCTGGGACTGGGAGATTGGGGTTCAAATCCCAGTCTGGTCACACCAAAGACTTTAACAATGGGACCCAGTGCCTCCCTGCTTGTCACTCAGCTTTAAAGGGCTGGATTGGGGAGTTAAACCACCAAATAGTTCCCGAGCACAGCCACAGCTGCAGCACACTGCTCCCCATATGGGTGGGTCAAATGCAGAGATGAATTTCACCAGTGTGTGATGAGACTTTAACTTTTATGGGGCCTTCAAAGTAGATCAGACATCCAGAGGCATTCCTGGACCAGAAATAATGAGCTTTTTGTTTCGGTTGTCACATTATTGCCATTTGACAGTTAATATCGTGACAGTGTTGGCTGACACTTCAGCATCCACCAGTAATTCCAGTGTGATCCATAAAGTGAGCTGAGTGATGGCTCAGGTGTCCCCCGCTGCTCAAGGAGCAGGCGTCGAGACAATGCTGGTGGCCGATCCACAGGCTTTGTGATGATAACCTCACCAGCATTAGCTGCAGGGGTTGTTCAACACAATAATTGTTTCTGCCAAGCAATATGTCTGTATGACAGAGGAAACACTTCTGTGACTTTCCTGCTAAATAATTGATTCACAGAGGCCCCATCACCTGTTTGATTAACATGGTTTGTTTCTATTTTTGCTTTGTTTTCTTTTTTCCCTAGACAGTTTTAGACAGGAAAAAACTGAATTAGCTAATTAGAAAATAATTACAAGTCTCTGCAAGTTGATTAGCAATTTCACTGCTGAACATTAACAATTTACATTAGCACCACTCTCCGTCTGAGCACTTGTATTGCTTTACTTACCTAAACTCTAAACAGTACAAGTATTTAAAGATTTCACCTTGACAAAACTTATTACCAGCTCCAGCTCACAATTAAACGTTCCGAACTGGCATTAATTGTTTGCTCATTACCACGTTAGATGTGTGTAATTTAGACACTTCAATATGGGGCTAGACTATTAAAAAGCATCAATCTCACCTTAAACGCAGCCACAGTTTGTTAATTTACACAAGTTCATTTGCAGTCCGGTTAACTTATACCTGCAGTGGTGGTGACTAAGGCTCAATATGTAATGCTAAGCCTCCGTCCCAGCTCAAGGGGTGGCCTCCCCCGCAGTTTAGAGTGACTCAAAGGTGAAGCCCTGAAAACAAATACAACACACTCACATGCTCCTCAGTTTAGATTTCACATCATCCTGTAATAGCCGTAGACAAAGCTGCAGTCATCTGCAACCCCACGCTTTTGTGTCGGGCCGCAAGGCGGTATCAATGCAGCTCCAGGGGTCAAAGGGTCAATGAGTAATTAAGACATGGTTGCATGAGCATTCCCCATGCACACTTTAAGTCCTGATGAGAGGCGGCAAAGGAAAGCAGGGGGATTTAAGTGCAGCCTGATACGCGGGATCAAATTTCTGTAAGTGTGTCTAAATGTTCCTTGTTCAAGGCAATTAGTTTGATTAGAGTGATAGTCTAGTGTCATCACGCTGTTCAAGAAGATTTTGCACATGCATTCTTCATGAAGTTCGAGCAATTTGCATACAATCAGGGGGTGAAAAGATAGGGCCTTTTGAGTTTAGTTTGGTTTGCTAAACATCAGCTTTAATAATTAAACTACTGGCTATTTAATAAAGTTTCCTCTTTGTTCTTTTATTTAAATATTCATGCAGCAGAGGAACACGTTTTATAATACAGGCCGCTCCAAACCACCATGCAGGGTTAAATGATGTTGTAGCCCTCGTGTGAGCCAAAAAAGGTCAAAGGGTGCATTGATTTCCATGTACGACAAGAAATTATTCGTTCATTTTCACTAGGTTAAAAATGAAGAGGCCAAGGCCTGAAAATTGAGGTCGTTGATAAATGCTACTAGCAGGAGGTGCTGAGGGGAGAAATCAATATGGCAGTTTGTCAACCTGCCTCTCAGAGGGAGCAGAAGTGGGAAGCAGAGCTAAAGCCTGCCCCGTCAGCAGAGCACATTACCAGAAATCAAAGGCCGGAGACGGCCTCAAGGTAGAGATGTACACGTCTCTCTGCAAAAGGCCACATTTTGGTAATTAAAGCCTGCTTTATCAGAGCTGTCCTGCCACTGATTTTTCTGTAACACTATTGACTATCTGCTGCATGTAGGATGACCAGTAATTTAACTTTAAACAAATAGGCTCAGACTTGGGTTTTTGTCAAAGCAAAAGACAATAGTCCCGCATAAATAAAGCAGTAACAATCTGAACTTATCTTGGCAACATTTTCTCACCAATTTCTGGGGTTTAAGAGTAAATCTTTCTAAACGTATGAACTTTTCTACTCTAAAGTTTGTTACTGATGTGAAAGGAATTGTACCTTGTGTATTATTTTTATAACGGTAACAAAAATACAATAACTTACAATTACCTGCCTATAATTATGCTAGCTTTTGTAGCCGAGGATCAGATATAAGTGGCCGAAATGAGTTTTATCTGAAGGGTGCCTGAGCTCTCCCGTAGAGATAGGGTGAGAAGCTCGGTCATCCAGGAGGGGCTCGGAGAAGACCTGCTGCTCCTCCACATCGAGAGGAGCCAGTTGAGGTGGCTCAGGCATCTGGTCAGAATGTCTCCTGGACACCTCCCTGGTGAGGTTTTCCAAGCACGTCCAACTGGGAGGAGATCTAAAGGAAGACCCAGGACATGCTGGAGGGACTATGTATCTCGGCTAGTCAAGGAACACATTGGGATTCCCCGGAGGAGCTGGTCCAAGTAGCTGGGGAGAAGGAACTCTGGGCGTCTCGGCTTAGGCTGCTGCCCCCAAGAACCGACTCCAGATAAGCGGTTGAAAATGGATGGATGGATGGATAATCATGCTACCTTTGATACCAGATTCTTAAACTACATTCATTTTGTGTTGAGAAATGGAGTTTTGGTCTTTTTGAAAATATGTGTTGAACGTGAACATAATCATGCTGAATCAGGTTAGCTCCAAAAGTGAATCAGTTACAGATCACCAAATTGTGGTTCATAAGATATAGTTTGAATACTGCAGACAAACTAATGTATAGTAATATATTTTATCTACACTGACTATAGGCACATTTCAAGACTCTCACACACACATTACTGCCCATGTTTGACAGTGCTCAAAATAAAGTGAGCATTTTAAAGTAACAAAGTACAATATTTTTAGATTTAAAAAAAGCCTTTTGTTCTTCTTTAAATATTTAATTTACCACAAATAAACATGTGCATCACCGCACGTGATATGATGGCATTTGTGTCGATAGTTACAGCTGCAGGTTGTAAAAATCATAACATATCATAGATGTGGTTTTTTCCCTAGTATCGTGCACCTTCTTCTTCTTTGTAGGCAAAGTAGACCGTGACAGGTCCAACACTAGTGTGGACAGTTTCTGCAGCTCCTATCACCATCCAGCACCCGATCCCATAAGCCAAACAAGGGATTCCTGCAACAGCAGCACACATACATTATTGGCTTCCTGGGGTGCATACACTGAAACGATCTGAATAAACGTGGTAGATCAGAAATACTAACCCAGATTAATAACTTTCAACAGGGAGAAAAACGTGTCTTCAACGTCCAGGTTCTGTGGAGGTGCTTTGGTGCAGTGGTACTTGACGAAGGGGAAGCAGCCTGTTCTCAGGATGTGGTAGTTGGAGCCCTGAACCCTCCAGTTAAAGCTCGATAATCCAAACTGGTCATTGTGGACGGAGCTGTAGCGAACACAGAAGGAAGTCCAGGCTGGGAGTCTGCGCTGCTGCAGGTGGCAGGTTAACACCTCCGAGGCTGCTGGTCGCGGACCTGTTTGGGTCAGTGTGCTTGGAAACAGAGCTATCTTCAAAAGGGAGTTGTGGATTTTCCTCAAAAACTCCTTCATGACTGCTGCATTAACGGTCTGGGATACATGCAGAAGACTGAGCGGTGCATCGCTTCTTTAACAACGGAATGACTGCTGCAGGAGTCCTGAAGCTCTATTTAGGGATACAAAACTAACTAAAAGTAAAAAAAAAAAATAAAAAAATAAAAATTTTGTTTTCAGCGGCAGAGCCTCTTTAGAACGTACGCGTCAAAATCACACATCACTTTACCCGCAACAGCCAACAACAGAGAAAGATAAACGCAAGACTTGTTTACTAACCTGGTACTGCTTATAAAGAGGTCCGGGCAGAAACACCACAAAGCGTAAAGGTTCCTAGCAAACTGATCGGAGTTTCGTGCATTTTGGAAATGTTTGTTATAGGCTAGCTATATTATAATTAATTAGGATTTTTAAATAAAAATTTTATGATGTGATTGGTATTATTTGGTTTAAACAATTAAAATTTCGGATCAGGAATTCACACATGTATAATCTGAATATGTTTTCAAATGTAACATTAATTTTGCACAACATATATAAAAAATAAATAAAATAACTAGTTGAAAAATAATGAGTTAAAAATTCCGAATTTGTTCATTAACTGTATGACATGATAAATATGTGTAAAAAAGAAATATGTGGAAGGGAATATTCCCATGGAAACTGTTAAAAAGAAACTACATTAAATTCACCTGAAATCAAATCCAAGACTTAACTTAAAATTTAAAAAATTAAAATTAAAATCACTTGATGAAATAGTAAAACAACTTTTTTTGCAGACTCTTCCTGTTGCACATATTCATTTATTTAGACAAAATTAACACACAGATTTACAAGAAAATGGAAAATAATAAAGAAAACAGTAAAATAATACAACTGAATAAAATAGCCAATTGTTCTTATCACTTTTTATTGAATACTAAATAATGAATTGTCTTCTCTAATAGTTTAAACTACTTGTGATAGTCTTTTATGAAGTTTGTCTATTCTAATATTAAATTTGAGGTCTATAGTTTCTATTAAGAACTTTTTTGTGGAACCAAATATATTTTTAAGTGATTTCAGGCTGCCAAAATAAAGCATCAATACTTCTTACAACTTTACGACATAGTTAGAAAGCTATATTATTTTAGTGAGCATGCATCTCCATGGCCTACTTATTTATTGTTATTTTTTAATGAACATTCATTTGGCAATGATCTGGTAACTTTACTGAGGAAGCAACAGCCTACGCAGTGGTTTCATCATCCAGCTGGTTTTTGTTCTGATTTATAATCTGCAGCACATCTTCTATGTTCTTGATCAGCTCCTGCAATAAAACAAACATACACATTCTAGCTTACAACAGGTTGGTACACGTAATTTTCATTATATAGAAGAGAGGAAACGGTTAAATCATTAACACGGTACCTTGAAATTGTTTTCTCCTTCCATTGCAGAGGGTGATATTTCCTGATGAATGAATGACAGATTCTGAGCAAAGGTCACTAGAGCTCCCTGGAGATCCTCAGAGACGGTTCTATTAACAACATTCCAAACAAATGAGTTTACTAATGATCCCCTTGTTGCCCGCTAAGAAACAATCACCTTGTTCATTTGACACTAGTGGGTAAATGAAACTTTCAGCAAATAAAACTTTTCAATTGGGGGCTGAGCACAGCTTGATGTAACTGTTCCACCACCATGTAAGCTAAAGGATTTCTGTGATAAATATGTTAAGTAACCCTCAGCTTAACAACTTGTGGAGTTTTTAAAATGTACAAAACCAGAGGTGGCCTTTTAATCTAGTAAATAATTGTTTTTACTTTGTGTTGCAACACAACACCAATCTAATACTCTTACCGCTTTTCTGGTAAAATGTTGCTCTGAACATCTGGAGATCAACTCTTAATTAGATACTAACAAGGAGCACAGGAAAGCAGCTGAAATGAAAAATAACTGTTTTTGTCCTTTTTGGCACTTTCAAGATGTAGCAAATTTAAAACAGGAACTTCAGGAACTTTTAAAAAAATTCTAAGTTATAGACAATATTGTGCAGAAGTTTTAGGTGTGAAACTTGCTGTAAATGAAAATAATTTCAAAAAGGAAGTGTTAATATATGTTCATCCATCAACAAAGGGAATTAACAAGAGATATCAAATTAAGATCTGGTGTTCCAAACCTTTTCCTTCCAAACATCACTTCTTCTGGGTACACTTGCACTCAGTTTTTGAAGGACTTGCTCCAGACAGATCAGGGTTCTGTGGGGACCAGACCATCACTGCCAGGGCTTCTTGTTCTTTACACTGAATATAGTTCTTGATGACTTTGGATGTACTTTTGGGGTCACTCACTTTGCATTTTGTAAACTGATGAAAATAAACAATCTGTCTGAAAACATTCTTTGTTCACACCTGCCAAAAACATTTGCACAATACTGTAAATATAAATAAAAATAAAAAACATTGCCATATTACCCACCATGGGTGGTCTCATCTGGGCTGGCTTGTTATTTATAATGTTATTTAGAACGAGCCAGCCAAGTCCCTGTGGGACTTTCAGATCCAGAATGACAAAATGGTGATGGCGAACCAACCGAACATTGTTGTGGTGGGCAAACAACAAAGGACAGCCATTGTGGTTGATGTGGCAATACCAAGTGATGGCCACATCAGGAAGAAGGAACACGAGAATCTAGAGAAGTACCAGGGCCTCAAAGAAGAATATGAGAAATCCTGGGGAGTGATGACATCGGTGGTGCCCGTGGTCATTGGGGCAGTAACCCCCAAACTGGAGAAGAGGCTAAAGCAGATCCCAGGAAAAACATCAGACATCGCAGTCCAGAAACGTACAGTTTTAGGAACAGCTAAAATATTGTGCAGAACCCTCAAGCTTCCAGGCCTCTGAGAGAGGATCCGAGCTTGGAAGGATGTGACCACCAGCGGAGGGTGAGATGGGAATTTAGTTTTTCTATAAGAAGAAATAAGTAGTACTTACATCATACCAATGCGACATCGCTCATGGCTGTCATAAAAAGCAAAGACAGTGCCTTTTTTCTGCTGAAAAGTGATTAAAAAATATGTAAGTAGATCTCAGAACAGATCCACTGAGAACACAGACTCTAAATTAGGTTGCGTGTTTTAGGTTATTTTGTCACACATGTTCAAAAACATTAACCTTACCCCATTGTGTCTAATCATGGTCCCCGAGAGCTCCCATCCAGCATGATTTAGTTGTTTCTGTGCTCCAACACACCTGAATAAACAGCTGACTTACCTCTTCGACAAGTCATCAAGTTTCACAGAAGCTTTTTAATCACCCACTGATTTAAATCAGGTGTGTTGAAGAAGAGAAACCTCTTAAGTCACCCTTGAGAACAGGTGTTACAGCAAAATCTGTGACCTAACTTAATCTGTGGCTGTGGGGGGCGCTAATGAGTATTTCTCATTTTCTGGGTCTTACAAAGACAGAAGAAGAAGAGCGCTTATGTAAACTGAGTAACAATTGTTCCAGCAGAGATTTTGGGATTCATGGTTTCTTCTAGCCTTTAATTGACGTTGCAGTGACTGAAAATGTAATTTATTTTGAATACAAAAATATCTGATGAACTTTCTAATGGATTGCGGGTGTTTTTGGACGTTCCAAAGGTTTTTTCTTTTCTTTTTTTTTTATTCTGCGTCCTTACAGCAGCCTGCACTCACTGTTCATTTTTTATAGGTAGAAAAGTTTGTCACCATGGTGTAAATCCACAATATTCATATGAGTTTAATTAAACTGTTTAATTTGGTTCTTCTACCTCTTAAATATAATTTGGACTCAGTTGACTTTACTTATGACTAGGGCTGCACAATATAACGCAAATATATCGTTATCGCGATATCAGCATGCACAATATGCATATCGCAAAGAACAGATAAATATCACAATGAATGGTCAGCTCAAATGTTTGCTACACATAATGTACTGTCAATCAAACAGAAACATGATGTTTTTTTAACAAATCAAATAGAGCTCTTCACCCATTTTGCCAATTGGGTGGGTTCTCATAGGTTAGATGCCCGCTCCCGAGGTGGACGGCACTTAATTTTGATGGTTAGCAAACACCTGAGTTCGCTTTGTTCTGCTCTTTCTGCTGATTCTGGTTTTTCCGGGATCCACTGATTGCCTTTTCTTGTTCATTTTCTGCTCCCCTTTCCTCACATCTTTTGCTTTTCTCATTTTTAGGATTTTTTGTCGTTTTTGATTATTTTTGTTCCCGAGTAAAGTTTTTACTTATCGCAAGTAATATCGTCATCGCAATATTTATCACTATTATTGCATATCGCAGGTTGTCCTAATATCGTGCAGCCCTATTTACGACCCTCAAACAACAAGCTGGTCACCCTTTTTATAGGTAGAAAATTCTGTGACCTTGGTTTAAATCCATATTATTCATATACAAGTTTAATAAAACTGTTTCATTTGGGTCTTTTACCTTCTAAAAATAGTCTGGACTCATTTGACTCTACTTAAGACCCAGAAAATGAGAAATACTTATTAGCGCCCCCCACAGTCACAGATTATGCTAGGTCACAGATTTTGCTATAACACCTGTGTTGGGCACCACTGCCTTGGCCCAAACACAACTTTTACGTAAAACTAGCATGTAAGTACAAACATAATCTGTGTTTCTGCAGACAGCACACAATGCACCTGACCTATTTTATACCCAAATAAACATTTTCTAGTTCTATGTAACATTGCATTTATTCAAGTTATTAGCAACTAATCTGATTCAAAAGCAATTAGATGCACTCATATAAAGTCCCTAAATTATTCATTACACACTGGTGAGAAATTACATCTCCGCATTTGACCCAACCCCATGGGGAGTGGTGAGCTGCAGCAGTAGCAGCGCTCGGGAACTATTTGGTGGTTTAACCCATCAATCCAACCCCTCCCTGATCTCCCAGTCCCAGGGTGGATGCTCTGCCACTAGGCCACTGAGAAGGTTACCCTTTATTCAGCTAAAAGGTGAAAAAAATGTGAAGCATGAATGGAGATCCTAGACTTTTACCTCCTTGTTGAATCCAGTGCCATGATGGTTGCACATCTGGAGAAAGACACGGTGGTAGAGCATGGAGAGGTTGGAATGAAACAAGTGGGTCCCAATTACTGCGAAACAACTGGCCCCAGGATTCTGTTAACATAGGAAAGACACTCAATCCTGTTTTCAGGAGGTGAAAAATATAACATATAATTTGTTGCATTACCATAGTTGAGGGTGAAGTGTAAAAGGTTGGAAAAATGTCACTGTTAAGTTTTTCTGTGATCACAGAACATAGTGAGCATAATACTTAGTTCTTTGAGAGGTCTTTCACTCATATTTTTAATCCATTTGCAGTGGTATCTAGTAGGAATCAATGCATTTTACTTGTGTTTGTAATTAGCTCAATTGTGCCTGTTTGAGCACGGAGAATTCAGCTGGAGAATGCAGCTTCAGACGGCAGAGTTTGGAGTCTTTTTTCTCTATATTTGGACATCTTGTCTCAGACTGGCTAACACCAACGTGACTCTGTTTGCTCTGCAGCATTGATGTTTTATCTCCACAAATAACACAAGCCCGGAGAAGTTCTGTCATGTCGTTGAGTTGCTAACGCTAATGCTAATGGTTAGCTACTAGCTCTTTGCTGTTTCTTGGATGCTAAACCAACAACAGCCTTCCCCATCGCGAGTCAGGTGAGTCCTAGTGACAGTAGACGTAGATCTGCCAGGATTTTCAAATCCTAGAGTTTCACCGTCTATTTTCTATCAGAAGCTAATGCAGGAGATATGTGTAGGAGACTATGTTCATGTTCAGCCTGCATGTGAAACTCAGAGTGACTGATCAAAAATAATAAGTAAAAATGGTTTCCCAGTGAGAGAACTCTTAAATTAACCAAAGGGAGTACACTTTAATGCTGCAAGGAAGACCTAGTGTGATTTTTAAATGCATGTTTTTTGTTTTTTTTTAATTTAAGGGAAAATGCATAAGGGCAACACTGTGACTCTTACATTCTCTGAAGAGGGATACGGAGCAAGCAACACTATAGGTTGATTAGTTAAAAGTGTCCGAGCTTAAGAGGATGAAAATGTAGCTTGCCCTCTCTCCTGTGGGAGATGAAGAAAGCAGGCCGAAGCTGCAGCGAGCCCAGGAGACAGCCCATAACTCGCCATGAAGGCTGTGTGTTTGCACTTGTCAGATACGGGGCCCTTACACATCAATGAAAGTGTCCAACAGGGACTTAATTGTGTTTGTAATATGCAAGCCCCTAATGATGGCCACTGCTGAAGCCATTAAAAACTGCAGCGGCTAAAGCTGCAGCGGCGAAGCGCCAAGCCACCAGCCAAATGAATGTTTGATAAAATAATACAAGTCGCAGATTAACAAGCGTAAACTCCGGCATACTGCTAATAAAAGAACTCTATTGTTTATAGACTGACACCAGGTTGATGAAGTATTCAAGCATACACAATGAAGAGTGTATGAATTATTAATGTGTTGATTATTTAGGCTCGTCTATCAACATGATAATGAAATCTGGACCTGAACACCGATTGAATTCAGTGCTTTACAGTTTTTAGTTGTATTTACTAAAAACTAATAATCTTTGTCACCACTACTCATAATTGAGAGCAGGTGGTTTATTTCCTGATTAAGACAAGCAATTATAAAAACGTACTTTGACTGCACAGCTTGTCTTTCTGATTGACATTTGAACTTCTAAACTGCCTGCGTGACAATTCAGCGTTCCTCCAGTTGTCATCAGCATCATCTGGGTCATAGCCAGCTGGTCACTGTAAGCAACGTCCAGATCAATACCCAAAACCTGCCAACCAGATATGAGAAACTGTGTGAGAGCAGGGAAATGTGACATTTTAAATAAAATAATTACAGTTTAGTATTAATTTATTTTTTCCTTTGCACCTTGGGAGGGAAAGAGGTAAAAGTTAAAAGCGTTGGACATCTTTTTGGTGATTCAACCGTATAAATGACTCAAGTACAACATGGATCCCTCTGTGTGCTTGCCTGAGTCTGCCCTGGGCAAGTCTGCTTGGTTCAGGTCTGATGAGAAGTAAAGTTCAGAAATGTATGGTAAATGGCATCATTATAAGTATATTAAGGGGTCAGGTATGGACGTAGCCTTCTACTTAAACAGGGCTAATTTTGCAGATAATAACCTAATAGCTATGCCCTCATTTCAAAAGTGACAAATAAATCATCAGTGAAGGAGTTGTTAATAACTAAGTGGCAGTCGGCTGCCTCCTTTAGCTGTTCCTATTTGTCAAAGTAAACGCTCCTGCCACTGAATGCAAATTGCCGCCTGTCTGAACCTACAGTCTCGGTAAAGTGAGCACTTTGTCTCCACCAGAACACGACCATCTGAGCAGACGTATCTGTTTGGTTTGTTAAATTTAAATATACCATAAAACACAGAATCTAAGCCTAAAGCCAACACTTTTCTAATTTAATGACTCTGTCAGTGTGACTCTGTGTGGTCTTTTCACTGAAGACTAAGAAAATACTAGCGTGTAATTTTGTCACATGTTGTCTAATTCTCAAGACAAAATATTATAAAATGAGCCAAGTTGCTTACAGATTAGTGCACTTATGTGGAAAAATAATAAAAAGGGAATTATAGTTGTTGACATATTTTTTTGCTGGTTAAATAACTGAATAATTCAAATACTCAACAAAATTATAACATTAAATTTACAGGAATATATTCACAGAATAACTACAGTAAATCACATCTTTTCTAATAAAACAAATTCCAAATGATCATAAAGACAACATATGAGTCATTAAGACTCTACGATAAGATGCAATTTAAAATGATTTTGCATGAAACCAACAGTAATGTCATAATATGTGCTGCACACCAGAATGAAATAAGTCAGCCACCTCTGCTGTAGAAGACACACCACAACTTGGCAGATTTGCGTCAGCAGAGACAGACTGCACTGAGCCCTTCACTTAACTCCCCAAAACTCATACTCCCATGTCCCATTGTCGCTCTTCACAAAGCAACGGGAAATGTAAGCCTGGATTGTACCCGTTTTCTATTGCCTTGCATTTTCATTAAAACCCTCGATGCTGCAGCTGTGGCCCCGCTGTTCCACAATGTGAGCAGACACTGCAAGGGCAAACATATGTGACCCACTTCTCCCCATCAAATAAAGTAGGCAGCTTTTAGCAACAGGTTTGAATCTAAATTGATGTTTAAATCCAGACAGGTTTGCCCATGTGGCTGTCGTCCGTCTGAGCTTTGTGTGTGTCAGGAGGCGGTTAGGAATCTGGCTTTAAAGTTCCTGTCTTCATTCAAGCACGTGCTGTATTATAGTCCATTGTTAATGCTGTCAGTAGATCTGCTTCAATTTAGGGTCAACATTAAAGATGAAAATCCATTTTAAAGTTGCTGTTTGTTTATTTTAAGCTGTCTGGCTAAAAAAGCAGCTCGTGTCCTGTATCTACAGAGGAAGTATCTTTTATAAAGTCAAATGATTTAAATGAAAATAAATAGTTAGTTTTTTATATATTTTTATACATAGATTTTTTTAATTAGATTTTTTTATTAGAAAACAGAAAGTTTAACAAATGTAGTCATAACAATATTATTGTCTGGGTTTTGAATTCATATTTTTTAAAATATACATAAATACAACTTGAAGACATTTTTTAATCAGAATGTGTATTATCTTATTCAGAATATACCACCCTCTAGTGGTGACCATGTCTGTAGCCTAATCCGGATCTTTCAAGCTAAATGGGGTTTACTATAAATACCATATTTCACATTATGAGGTAATCATTTATTTTTAATTGTTCTGAATATAACCCATCACAAGCAGCTGGCATATTTATATTTTATTTCTGATTATTTCTATAAAGTTCTGTCTCTTTTTGTTTAGGATCACTGAAGTAAGGTCAGTGTTGTTGCCACCATAATGATTTTTGCCAAGGACTTGTGGGTCATATTACAAAAGGAGCATTGCATTTTTACAGCTGTGGATCAATAGGCGGTCAATATAGCCACATGTTGGGAGCAGAGGTTAAACCATCATAAACAAGTCTATTTCAAATACCATAAATCAGGAAGCTTTCAACAGAACGTAATCCTGATGAATGAGACAAGGCTTCAGTGGTGTCTGCAGACCACTGCAGGTGACCAGCCAGGGGTTAAACACTGACAGGGTACCCTTGAGAATCTGTCATATCACTTTCTGATGACCTATTGTCAGGACAAACATAGGTGCTTCTGAGTTTTCCTGTATTGTAAGGTCAAAGAGCAAGCTTTTACTGGTGGAATCAGAGTATTGACGCGATGGGAGCTGACAGTTTATTAGATGGCCTTGTGACACATTTGTTCCCTGTGCCCACAGTTTCCGCGTCTTGTTTTCTAGATCCCCAGGGGGCAGTGTAATGTAGGATGCACCTTTCTGGTCCTATAGATCCTCAATCCAGTTAAAAATCGATCTTTTTCACCAACGTGGTGAAGGCGAAAGCTTTAACAAGATGGACCGCAACAGTTCATGTTTATTGTGGCAGCAGCCTAAGCCAGTTTCTTTCCCTGTGTGTGTCTCACCTTCTGCTCTGCAGTGTGGCGGTCCACAAAGGTAGCTAGACCCACAGAGACATAACCCACAATAAGATGCTGCAGACAAGCCTGACCCACACTCATACAGATGGAGTGTAAGGTCTCTGGGTGTACACACGTCTGAGGAACAATGGCACCAATGGCCTTCAGTTGACAGGAGCCTGGGAGCTGGTCTCCACAGGACAGCATGGTCACCTCACCCCCTGGTTCTAGTAACAGATCTACTGTCAGATGGGTGACACTCTGTGAAGGGGGACATGCCTCCACCACGCCACCTGGACAGAGCGAGAAGAGAAAAATGGCTCCACATACATGCAGACCACACAACACATGACTTTTGACAGAGCAGCAAAATACGGTACTGTTAGCAGCAGGTCAACAACTACTGAGACTGAGATGAAAATTATTCAGTTTGACAGTTCATAACACACACACACACACACACACACACACACACACACACACACACACACACACACACACACACACACATATTTATATATATGTATGTATATATTCCGCATGGCTGTACTTGTAGAAGAATGGTATTCGGTGCTTGTAGAAGACAGTGCCTAACCTTGCCTGAGGAAGGTCTTCAGGAAGCAGGACCAACTGGGATAAGAGGAGGTTTTAGCAGGCTGGGCATACTGGGCCAGCCATTCTGGGATCTCATTTAAATATCTCGACAGCACAAACTCCTACAGATGGAAACACTTATATATCAAATACATCAAAGTGGGCACAAATCTACAGATATTTAGTAGCATTCTGAATTCATGTAAAAACACGAGTTATTTTATTAGACTTTTAACCCAGCAATTATGATTTTGGCTACATTACTAGAACCTCATGTGTTATCTGGATGACTCCAGTGACGGCTTGTTATCTGTGAGATTTTAATGTTCACTTCAATTTCTGTGCGAGTGTGTGATGGAAACTGCGGAGTGTCTATGTGTGAGTGACAGCCTATTATCAGAAGGCTTCAGGAGTCTAATAGCTTTAACTCACAGCCTGAAACCACCTGCCCTCAATAACAACTCTCTCCACTGGGCAGCTGATGAATACTTAAGCAAACCCCATCTATCTGGGGATCAATCAGGGCTTGACTGGGATCGATATCACTTTTGTTTCGGTAACTACGAAATACCATTATGGTTTCACCACTTAATTATGCTGTTAATTTTAAGCCTGGGCTCCTGGTGTCCCTCAGAGTTTAGAAACTTCTTTGAGAAAGTTACCTCATCACACCCTTCCTCAGTTTTTCAAAACCATAAAACTTCAACTGAAGTCAACTGTAAAAAAAATAAAAACTGCCTTTTTTAAATACAGAGTTCTGTATATAACAGTTTCCATCATTATACAAGAATCACATTTGCCCAAAGAAAATAAAAATGTGTGAAATCTGCGTGAAAGATGAATAAATTCTGAATGGAGATAATGTCTTTGTTCTTCTCTCGTACTATCTGGAGCGTTACTTTGTTTTGAGTACATGCTGTCTGGCTTCACTGGAGACAGGACCAGAGATTATGCTGTTTATATTCCAGTCATGTAACAGCCATCATCATATTCAACTACTGTAAGAGGCGAGGTCAAACGCTGCACAGTGATTCCCCCTATACAAACCATAAAGCAGACAATGGTGCGGCAAAAAGTGTAAGGGAACGGTTGTCATTCTCAACGGAAGAGCAAGCTCACCCCGGGACGTTGCCTATGCAGTTCACAGAAACAGCAGGGCGGCGAGAAAAAAAGGAGAGGTATTCCACTATAAATTATTTGGACTTAAAGCGCGTACGGGACTCTGATAGGATTCCATTTTTGCTAGGTGCCCTCATAAAGCTGAAATAATCTGGTCATAAATAAAATAGACGTTTCCCTTTTCTGATTGCTCCTTCATCTCTGCTTCACAGTGGAGCAAATTGATGTGATGAACTTAGATGATCTTTTCAAACAAGTTATGCATTTTCCATGTACATGTATGTCCCTGTCCTATCCAATCTTCATCAACACCTCACGATTAATGTAGATGTTTTAGAGCGACAAAGGCAACATTTCATCCTGATGTCATAAAAAAGGTGTCAAAAAAGTCACTAAAGATGTTTTAATTTCAAGTGAACTATATAAAGTAAGATAATTAGATAGTTAAACTCCTTCATGCTAGCACAGATTGCAGTGTTTAGACAGAAAACATCTGTATGAAATGTCCCTCTACCTCTTCAGTGGTAGTGATTGTCAAATGACCCATTCCGTTGACAAACTTAACCTAAATAAGGTTTTCCTTAAGATCTGTTTGTACACAGCATGCAGGAAAAACACTCCATCTGTTGAAGCTATTAGGTGTAATTTTTACCCTCTTGTGCCTAATGATCCATATGCAAGCTGTGTGAGCGCTTAAGTGTGTGTGTATGGCCCCCTTCAGGCATTGCATGGTTGAAGATCTACATGTCTTTAACCTCTCTCTGTGTAAATGCTAAAAGAGGCCTGGGGCCTTTCTGCAGGCTGAAACGTTCTGCTGGAAGCTGTGGCCCCCCTGATATATAGAAACGCATGTTCTCCTCTGTGGAAGCTTCTATTAGCGTGGATGCAATGGCTCCTCCTCCGGTTTGTATCCTTTTAGTCTTTGTTTCCCAAAGCCAGAAGCCATTGCATACTCTGAGAGACCACGTGGCATCTTGGTGAATGAAGATTTTTTCATACTGAGCCTTTCAGAACAAGCAATAATTAAAATATTAAACACATAGATACTAATTTTAACTTTGTTATTTAGTCTCTTTTCTATTTTAGCGTGCACGAACAAAGTTACATGGCATTTGCATTAAAGGGGAACTAGGCAGTTTTGGCTTCCTTTTAGCACCCCCAAGTGTCCAGTTGCAGAACCGAAAGCATAATCTATCTCTTCGCTGTGCGTTTGTCCTTTAAACACCTTAATCTAACAGCTGAAATGTCTGCCCAGCCGTCATTAGCGTCTACAAAAGTTATTTGTCACTAAATTAAACAAATCAGCTGTGTTCATGATCTAAAACATGCAGAAAACATGCTGGAATCAGGCTGCAGCGTCAGGTATGTCAGCTCAGTTATTGTCCCAACAAAACGGTTCGCCTGTCTGATGTTGCAAGTGGAATATTCTGACCACAGGGGGCGATAGGGGCTGGGCGGCCTTTCATTAGCCCTGGAAAGGGTCTTTTTAGCACATACTGGCTCAAGAAAACGATTTAAAGATGTGAAAAAGTTTCAACGTATCCCTTTGAGCATTTACTTTAGTAATTCAACATTTGTTAGTCACTGGTAAATAATCTTAAATGTTGAATATAGTACAATTTAATAAAAGGCTATACTTTGTTTTTTAAATAATACCTCCACGGGCGTTTAGCGGTGTGCAGAATGAAGGTACAGTATTTCAGTCTGTTCAACACAGTGAGGGTGGAACTGTGGAAAATGGCGGACTCAGCAAGTCAAGCAGCTGCTTCTGAGCCCAGAAGATATTGTTGTCCATCTTAGAAGAGGAGCAACCCCTAAAGATCTAAAGGTGAGTTTAAGTGAAGCCTACAACAGATGGACCCAAATAAAAAATGTCACGTATCAGCAACAAACCTGGTATCATGACAACTGGAAACCTTGTTCTATTGTTGCAACTACAACCTCCACACACTAGATGTCACTTTGGTGCTCATGTTCCATATTCCACCCTTAATAAATGACTGAATATTAAATACATCAATAAAAAAGCTTATTTTTTTAGGTTATGTATTTGATAAATAAATGTCACATCTTTTGCAAACATATTGAGCTCCTATTAACCTTAGAAACCTTTAGCAGTGTGACTACAGTTGTTTATTGTTGTACTTATTAACAAAGTGCATTATTATGATGGTGTGTTAAAAGAAAAATGAAGCTCCTATCTGTAGTTTCTGATAGGACAAAAACATGTTTTGATGTAACAGCAATAAAAGGACTGACGCGGCTGAAACTGATCAATGTGAGAAGCAAAAGATCATGAAATGAGGAGCACAGGATGTGGGCTTTGCTTTGATTAAGAGAGCAAGGTGTAGAATAAAGGCCAGTTAAAGTGTTGTGACCATATGGCCCAGAAGCCCCGAGGCTGTCGGCCTACACTGGGGGGCCTCGGCACTCTTTCCTCTCCATGGGACCCCAGCTGGTGAAAGAACCCCCCATTTACTTTTCCTCTGCAGCCTCAGCCACCATTATAGACCTTGGCTGTGCTTCAGCTACTCTCTGCCATAATTAACAGCACCGACGCCACAACAATTACAGCCCTGCACCATGCATACCCTATGAATCAAAGAACAAGCTAATAGGAATAAAACAGAGCGAGCTGCAAGAAACTCGAGATGACTGCTGCTCTTTCGAATGGAATAAAAAGTAAAATCGTTGTGCTCCAAGCCCACAATCATTAGCCTGTAATTAGTTTACACAAAGCTCCCAGTTAAATGGCAAAATACGGTAATTAACACATGACAGAAAATCAAAGGCTACTTTGTAAGCATATGAGAAATAAGAGCCAGGGGCTCAGAAACGGTGCACAAATCCCATCTAAAGGAAATGAATGGTTTAGCACTGATTAAATGCCGATATTTATACTGAATATGACAGATCATAAAATAATATGAATAATTTCTGGAGAGTGGAATGGTTATGGATAACAGATTCCCGCTTACTTCATGGCTATAATAAAAACAGTACTGCTTTTTGTGTTTAATGTAGAACAACAAAAAATTACTTATAGATGTATTACATCCATAAGAAATCCTTTGTTGATTTTTAGTCATTGATTGTAAAAATAAAAAAGGAGCATAAATGCAGAAGCTCAAACAAAGTGCTATAAAAAAGATCAAATATTTTCCATGTCTAGAAGTGACAGACATAAACATCTAAGTCCCGTTTTTACCTGCATCCATTCTGAGCTCCAAAGATCAGGACCAAAGTAACGATAGCGCTGCAGGGCCCATTTATAGCAGCTAAGATGGCAAACATCACAGTAAGCTGTGACATGGTCGCCACGCTGCTGGTTCATTCTGAAGTGCCACCGCTCCACGGTGATATTAAGAGTCATCAGCTCTCCAAGCTTTTCATGAAGCTAAACCAACAGAAAGAGGGAAAATGTAAAATACAAATGAAAAATGCTATGTATTACTAAAAGATGGGTACTGGAAATGTGTTGTCATTGTCCTGCCTGTGCTAAGGAGTAGATGTCTCCTTGACCGGGCGGTGCATCAACTTTTGCTGCAGCGAAGATCCTCCTCCCTCCAGACTTTGTGCTGTAGAGTTGTTGAACAGCCGGCTCTGGACCTAAGATCGGCACATCCAACTCATCGGCCACTGCCAGGTCATCCATGTGGCCAACTCCACCCACTATATAGGCCTGCTTCCCCTGGATGAGGTTTTTAATACGCCTCAGGGTGCGTGGACTGTACTTCAGCAGTGTAGACAGACACATGTTATGGGTCTGAAAAAAAAAACAGACAACTGTCAAAGTTACACATTCAAAGTCTATTCCATGGGAAGTTTCTTGACCTGATATAGCACAATGTACACACAACAGATCTATTATTCATATAGCCAGCAGGCTTTTGACCTCTCCTGTAGTCTAGCAGGTTGAATTGATAAAATCTGCCTGTGGGAGGCCTCCCCTATCCTTCACTTCTTTAATGTGTGCTACCAACGAGCTCCTTGGGAATACAACTAATTACTTCACATCTGTATTTATTTGATCCACGTGGAATTATCCCTTCTGTCACTGGCAGAATGCGCTGCCAGCCATGAATCGTGGTGATCTATCTCAGCAACACGACTGGCACAGTTTAACCACTAAACAGCAGGAAAATCAATAAAAAGAAATGAAGAAGACCATACCGTATTATATAATCAATCTAGAACAAAAAGAAAACACGTGATAAAGATATTGAATGGATCAAATATCACCATATGAACAGACACATAGAACACGTCTTTGAGATTATTATAAAAAAAACAACACAATTCTAGGGAGGCAGCACTTAAATGTGATGAACACTTAAATAAACCAGCCCTGCAGCGCATTACAAATGTTTTAATTAAGTACAATGATACAGCTTTACTGTGTTTACACAAAAATAACACAGAAGTAATAGTAAGAAGCACAGAGAAGTGTTCTGCTCTCTTCGGATGTCTGTTTATTAACAACCCGCTCTAGTACCCTCTAGAGGACATTTCATAAACTACAACTCCCCATAGCTTCCTGGGCCCATTAGACTTCAGCCTAACAGTAAACCATATGAACTCTATGGAAAGACCAAATAAATAATTAAAGGTTTCCATTTGTAAATAAATAAATGAATACAATTAGCCTTACAGGGAAATGATCCACAGCCTCAGGAGTTAGGATGACAAAGTGTCTGTTGCCGGGTGAAGCCTGAGTGGTACTGGTGTCAGCTCCTTCTACGGTTTCATCACATGTCAAGAGGCTGTTGTAATACTGCAAGACGTCCTCCCCAAGACGCAAGGGGCATATGTAGATCACCTCAACATTTTCATCTACGATAAACAAAGAGGGCTTTAAAATGAACATTTTACAAGAAAAACAAACAAAGTGAGCTGTGAAAAAAGAAATAAAACCCAACCTCTAACATCAAAAATTCTGCCTATTTGGATGTTCTGAAGGATGTCGAACCTCCTCAAGTGCAGCCGCTGGCTCAGAGAGAACCCTGTCAGAAAAAGGTCATATAGTCCTCTCTAATTAAATCAAATGTTTTAGGATAATTTCACACAAACATCACCAGACACGGGAATAGGGGAGTAAAACTCTAATCAGGGTGTATAACAATCCTATGATTAATTCAGTCTAATAACTAGCAGGTGCAGAGCCTGTCGTGTGCTGGGAGTCCTTTTTGCACCGTGTCCTGCCATAGCGAAACTACATCCTGCGATACCGCCAGGATTTTAGCTCGAGCCGGTCTAGATTTCTGCCTGAGAGGGAATCCTCAGCTGAATCAAGGTAATTAAATGATTGGATTCATGCTAATTAACAACAATGGGGTTCAACTTTCTAATTATCCTTGCTCACACAGCACTCTCTGTAGCCACCCCAAGTGCAAATAAAGCATTCCATCTGCTAGTAATTAGGCTTAATAATTTTAGACAATCACTAAATGATTTACAATGTAAAAGCCTGATTACAGTCTGAATGTGGGTGCAGTGCAGAAATTAGAACACAGCTTATAACCATGTTTAGCATAAAAACACAGCGGCTTTTTTCCATGTATTTTTTTTTACATAGCAATAAAATAAGACCTTTTGCAGCTCTTGTAAATTTTCACCATAATGGTTTTTCATTTGCTTAATCTGCAAATTAAATGGCAATTGAGACTGAATTGTTCAGTTCCTTGGCAGAGGGACTGTCATCATCCACTGAATGCTTTCCTGCAGAGAGTCATTTGAACGAGACAGAGTGGCTGCACCGGGGCCACAGACTGGGGCAGCAGAGTGGTGAGAGTGGAGATGATTTAAATAAAAATGTGTGTGTTTTGTGTGTACGCCACCTAATGAAGGGATGTGGATGATGGTCCTCTTGGACAACTTGATATGTTTCCAGTTGGCTGCCAGATGCTGGGGACAAAAAGGGAGTGATCAGAGAGGAGACAGGATGAGCGCGCGCGCGCACACACACACACACACACACACACACACACACACACACACACACACACACACACACACACACACACACACACACACACACACACACACACACACACAAATCATCTCATCACTGCATAGATAAACACACCGAGCTAATCTCTCTCTCGGCTCGCCGAAGCAAACCAAGCATGAAATACCACCATAATTAAATGAAGCGTTGACTTTAGAAACGTCTTCTTACAATTAATTCAATCATCAAGGTACATGATGCTACTGCCAGGGGAAGATTAGCAGGCTTAATTAACAGGGTGTGAATGTTTAAAGAGTGAGAACATACATTTATTGCATATATACACACACAACAATGTTCAAACTAAATGAACTTGTAGGCACTAATTGAAATTGTGTCAGCGATCCAGAAGATGTTCAGTCCAGATGACAGCATGCAGCAGGATTTCACATTATTACAGATCGAAGACAACTGTGCTGTCAAACCTGCTTGCCATATTGAGAAATTATACTTTTAGGTGTCAAAATTATACACTTAAAAAATCTCTTAATTTTATCACAGTGACATTTATTAATATCAGGAAAATCTATAAATGCATTGAAGCCCAGCGAAACACTAAACAAAATGACAGTAATTTAGTGAATCTCTTTTTAGTTAAATCCTTTAAACACTTATGCTTACTTTTTTCTTGCCACTATGTTAAATGTAACTGAGTAGATGTACAAATGTACATGATGTAACTGAAACAATCATTGTCATGCTTAATCAGCTAAGAAATTAGATTTTAGCTTCAAAACAGGAAGTTTGATATTTTAATCACTTTACATTTTATGGCCAAATATCACATTTTAGATTTGACTCATAAAATATATATGTATATGTGCATTTAATAATTTGTACTTGAAAGCTTGTACACTGAAGTAAAAAAAATGACAATGATTTGAAAATCATAATAATTTCTATATTTACTTAAAGTGACAGTCTGTATTTTTTCTGGCAATAGGGGGCAGTACATGCCTAAATCACTGCAAGCAAGTGATATTTTTATGTTGCAGTAAGACATTACCAACAGATGGCCATAGGGTCAGAAACCCCTCGGAGAGCAATCCCCAGCAAAATGACAAGAACATCAGACTCACTTTTATTACTGACAACAAGTGAAGAGGTAAAGGTAGGTAGAGTGTGCTGTCCAGTTATCAGAAGGTTGCAGGTTCAATCCCGCCTCCAACCAGAGGAGTGTTCGGCAGGCTTCGCCTCCGTTAGTGCGCCCCAGAACAGCTGTGGCTACATCATATCTCATCCCCACCAGCGGTGAATGTGCGTGTGTGAATGACTGGTTGTGTTGTAATGTACCTTGGGGGGTTTTTAGAACCCTACAAAGCCGCTACACAACTACAGGTCATTTACTATCATTTAATTTTATTATTAAAGTTTTATGTTGTTTGAGATTAATGATAAAAACTACACATAAACAGCTAAATATGTAATGACTGGATAGATTTTGATGGCGGATTTAGTAGAAAATCTCAATCCAATTAAAATCTTTTATTCATTTTTTAACAGTGAAGCTTATGTTATGTTAATCTATGGTTTTTGTTGAAAATCATTTTTCTGCTTATTTTACACAATAATTTATCCTAAAATTAGTTCCCCCTGCACAATATGGATTATATGCAAACAAAAAGAAAATGAAACACAGTTGATATTAATTATCAAAAGAAATAAATATAAACAACCTGTGATCTTCTGCGACAATTCTCTAAGTGACTTAAGCGCCTGGCCTGAAGGGCCTTCTTGATGTGAGTCATCTGAAGATGTTTCCACCATGATGCTGCAATGACAGCAGTGCTGGCCCTGTGGCGCCTCCAGCAGGACTGGATGGCAACAGCCTCAGTGCCTCCTTCTCTCCAGTTGCACAGGGAACTTGATTCTGTCAGAGAAAATATTTTATATTAGAGACTGACTCATGGATAATATCCAGAATACATTTCAAGTCAGATTTCAGTGTTTTTGTGCCATCAACAAAATCAGCAAGATATTTTAAACCTGATAGTAAAAACAACAGGACCAACCAGGTAGTCTGACTAAAGAAACATAATTTTTGTCTCCAGGCTTCTGGACAAACCTCAAAGGTTTGCTTTAAACATCTGACAATATTTCATGGTTTCATAAAGTTAGAAAATTGTCTACAATTGTCTTTCAAACTGACTCTACACATAATTGGACAATGCTAGAACTAATCAGAGCCACAAGCAGTGGGGCAAATTCAGAGCGACAGAAATCAGTCAACAGGGCAGTGCGCCATAGGGAACCTAAGTCACACCCAGTATTGGTAGTAATGAGCTTAAATAATAAATAGGTAAGAGCCTCCTATTGGATAATTACTGCACAGGCAATTCTTTCAGCTGCAACAAGTTATTTAACCCCAACTGGTGCAATGAGTTGCTTCTCATTTCTTAAACAATCATGTTTAAAGACACACCTGCTGGTCGTGGAAAAGCTATTGGTGTGTTTGAGAAGGGTCAGATCATTGTTATGCATCAAGCAGAGAAAACATCTGAGGAGATTGCAGAAATGACTAAAATTGGGTTAAGAACTGTCCATCGCATCAATAAAAACTGGTCTGATTAGCGCAGATTGACCCTGTTCCAGTTATTCCCTCACTGGATGTTTTCTTCCCTGATGGCATGGGCAGATTTCAAGGTGACAATGCCAGGATTCATCGGGCTCAAATTGTGAAGAAGAAAAAAATATTTATTTTTATTTTGTGCCTCTCAAGATAAAAACCACAAAGCACTTCACAAGAAGAACAAAAAAATTAATTAAAATGTATTTATTCTTACGAAAGTAAGAGCAAAGAGCAGCCCCCCCCCCCCCCCCCCCCCCCCCCCCCAATATTAGTCTAGAACCTCCCCTGATTACGAGGACGTACCTGTTTTAGAGGAAGACTTGTGCTGAACTGAGAGAGAAAGCAAGCCCGGCTGTAGCGCTGGGGGTAGATTTAAAAGATAGAAATAATTAATAAAAATACTGCAAATAAGTAAATGAGAACTAAAATGTTATTCAAACTTGTGCTGAAATCAAGCACCCATCAGCTGTTTAATTGGAGTGTAACAGAAACGTCACTCAACCTTTCTCTTTGTTGTCTTCAGGCAGAGACGACACGCCTTTTGTTTTGGTTAACGGGACACTCTCTGCAGTCACGTTTCCTGAATGTTTGACCTAAAAACCATTTTATGATTACAGCATTTATACACAGTGATGCAGTACTAGTTTTATTTCACAGTTTTTGCCCTTGCTTCACGATATTATGAGTTTGTATCTGGTGACAGACTATTTACTTATTCAATTCAATTCAATTCAAAAATACTTTATTAATCCCAGAGGGAAATTGATTGCTGTAGTAGCTCATAATAATAATAATAATAATCAAGTCATCAAAGAGTTGTTGTATATTACGACGGCTGTTGGCAGGAAGGATCTCCAGTAGCGGTCAGTGTTGCAGCGAAACTGAAGAAGCCTCTGACTGAAGACACTCTTCCGTTGTCGGACAGTCTTGTGAAGAAAATGCTCAGGGTTGTCCATAATTTTCTTGATTCTCTGGAGAATCCTTCTTTGCATCATCTCCTCCAGTGGTTCCACAGTCTGCCTCAGAACAGAACCAGCCTTTTTTATCAGGCTGTTGAGCCTTTTCAGGTCCCTGCTTCTGATGCTACTACCCCAACAGACGATGGCTGAAGAGATTACACTCTCAACAACAGACTTGTAGAAGATCTGCAGCATCTTGCTACAGACATTGAAGGACCTAAGCATCCTCAAGAAGTGCAGTTTGCTGTGTCCTTTCTTGTAAACGGCTTCGCTGTTCGTTTTCCAGTCCAGTCTGTTGTCCAAGTGAACTCCAAGGTATTTCTATTCCTCAACCACCTCCACTTCTTCTACCATGATGGAAGTGGAGGTGGTTGAGGAATACATTTATTCAATTGGTTTCCCTAATTATTTCACTGCTGTTGAAGAACTCTAACTCTATTTTACAAATACACATAACCCGTTGGTTCAGACAAAATTGGAATTTTCTATATTTTAATTAAACAAATAAAATTTCACCTTGACATATTTTAATTGTTAATTGCAATTTAGCCCGAAAGTGACAACAGGTGTGTCGTGTGTATTCTGTTTATTTGTTTTTCTTTTCAGAATTATAAAAATGTATTTTCTAAACTGCTTAACATCATAAGTTGTCAGTCAGGCTGACCTTTATATTAAATCATGTCATTTTTAATAGGAATCTTAAAAAATATGAAAGTCATGGTCAGAAATTTTTATTTTAACTTGTGTTTTGCCGCAATAAATAATTAATAAAAAGTATAAAGCTTGAATTTAAACATTTACCATGATCTTTGCAGTTATTTGCAATCCTCAGAATCGTGCAACTGAAATCTTTTTGAACTCAGTGACAAAATAATAATAATAATAATTCAAAACAGATTTATTAATCTTGTTTAAGATAAACATGAAGGCATTTGTACAATAGTCCTAGCTTTTAGCCATAACTAGACTTAGAACAACTCAAAGTTTGCAGTCCTCCATACTGATTTTCTAATGTCCTCATGTTGTCGCTTTCATTCTCCCCAGACCACTGAGCACCATGACAGACCATGGGTAGTAGCCAGGTGCTGGAATATTCTCCCCTCACAGGCACACATCTGTTTCACGTGGGGCTCAGAAAAGGTGCCACCTTTTGGAAAATTGCTAAAATGGAAAAAGCTTATTCCTTGGCAACGGGCATGAAGCAGAAAAGAGCTGCACTGGGCTGCAGAAGGCGACAGCAGGCAGAGAGCCAGTGGTTAGCAGTTGGGGAAGCTACGGCTGTCTTATTGGCATGCTGGAACAGGTAGTCAAATCTGTCTTGAGACAGCTGTAAACCAGTAGCCCATAGCACAACAATAAGGTGCCTGTTTCTTTAGAAGAATGCTGATGTGCTGCAATCTGCTGTTTTTCACTCTGTAGCCAGCACTTCCATCTCTCCTGTATCAGAGTGACAGTCTAGGCCTCTATTTCCCATGTCAGGAACAGATTACCTAAAACATATTGGCACTGGCAAAGAAAGTGAGTAAAATAAATCTAAGACTAATGCCGACCTTTGAAAAGATTAATTTGTTTGCTGTGACAGGGCCTGCGGATATCATCACAAAGCCAAGTGACCTTTGTGTCAGTGTCTGACCGTGAACTTATTAAAATGGACTTCACTCTTCAATCCACCAAAAGGTGTTTTAGGATTAAGAGGAAAGCATTTTGGAAAAACAACAATGACATGCCTCCCAAAAATAAAACAAAGTAGTTTCCAAGTCAAAATTATTTATATATTATTATTTATATATATTTGATTCCAGTTTTTCCTCAAAATAACTCAACTAGTTTCTCAGTTCATTCAAAATCTTTTAACATTAAAACAAAACAAAAAAAGCCTTACATGTGCTGATGTCAGCATAAAGTATAAACTATTTTTCTGACAATAGCATTCTAACTATTTAAGAAGTTGATTTTCAGCCTTCGATGCTAAAATTGTAAACAGCATTTTCTACGTGCAATTTATTTGACATTCCTTTCATGTTCACCATTTTAATATACAGCACGTCCCCTTGCCAGTTTAGCTCATTTGTAGTAATAATGAAACTAAATTAGCCCTCTGGAGGCAGGCGTTGCAGATTTGCAACAGTTAAAACCTACTTGCTTACTCCACATACGTATTTCATGAGCATTTTTTAACTCAGACATACCCCTGAAGGACTTAGTTGTTCGTCCCTTTATCCAAACTTATTTTGAGCCTGAGAGGGTCAAAAAATAAGCTTGGTCATCCAGGAGGGGCACGGAGTAGATTAGCTGCTTCTCCACATGGAGAAGAGCCAGTTGAGGTGGCTCAGGCATCTAAAGGATAATGATAAATTACTGTTGCACCTTTCAGAGTCAGAGGACTCCAAAGCAATTTACACTAGATCCATTCACACCCGGGTGGTGGTGATGAGCAACAATGTAGCCACAGCTAATCTGGGGCACACCGACAGAGGCGAGGCTTTCCAAGCACAGGTGCCACCAGTCCTTTCGACTATCACCAGCAAGCAAGGTGAGTTAAATGTCTTGCCAAAGGACACAACAGCACAATTCTCTGGCTGGAGCCAGGTTCGAACCTGCAACCTCTTCCTCCTGAGCTACTGCTGCCCAATCTATTTAGGATACCTCCTGGGCGCCTCCATGGTGAGGTTTTCTGGGCATGTCCAACAGGGAGGTGAACCAAATGTCTCTCGGCTCAGCTGGCAAGGGAACCCCTTGGGATTCCCCAAAATGAGCTGTCCAAAGAGGCTTGGGAGAGGAAAGACTGAACCTCTCTGCTTAGGCTGCTGCCCCCTCGACCCGACTCCGGATAAGCGGAAGAGAATGGATGGATGGATGGATGGATGGATGGATGGATTGATTGATGGATGGATGGATGGATGGATGGATGGATGGATGGATGGATGGATGGATGGATGGATTGATGGATGGATGGATGGATGGATGGGCGTTTTTTAATTCAATTTTTTTTGCATAGTAAAGCTACGCCCTGCCGGGAGTAACTCTGGTATATATTTTTTCTCCTCCCCCAATTTATCCTCATGTAATTCCCTTTTCATCTATTAAGGTAGCGCAACTCGTGTTGCGAATGACCACAGTCACCAATTCTTGTCATGTGTCTTGCCCATGTATGTCTGATCTCTGAATTGTGTGTAATGAAACTCTAATTTCCCTCTGGGATTAATAAAGTTTTGATTGATTGATTGATTGATTGATTGATTGATTGATTGATTGATTGATTGATAAAAAAGAAAATCCTACCTTTTTTCCAGGTAATGCTCCTGGAATCTTCTTCCTTTGGGGATGCACTTCAAAGAAATTTTCAAGAGGATTCCTGCATGAAGTTGATTCACAAACTTCATGATAAAAATGTATGACACTATAAACACAACTCAGTCATTCATCACTTACCAAATAGGTATTGTATGTTTTTGTTCATCTTCAATGGGTGGAAGTACTAGTGGCTGCTTGTTCACTGTTTTCAGATAATCCTCAGCATGCTTTATTTACACAGAAACACGTGTTAAATGCATGGGCTTGAATGCCCAATGTTTTGCCTCATCACTGACAATATTATTTGAATTTAGTCAAGTTAAAATTAACCTTTATTACAAAATATAAAAGTTTAATGGGAGACTGGAGACTGATAACACTAATTCAATTTCTAAGCAAATTTACTTTATTGTTATTATTTTAACACAACAATATATATAAAAACATTTTTAAAGGTTTTTAGTGATAAAGGTGCTATGTTCGTCCAAACAAGTACTTTGCCTTAAAGTTTTACGATAACTTCCAATGAGTTGAAAACCTAAATTAGCAAAAAATAAAGAATGACATGGACCTACCTTAAATGTATCAGCACCCAATTTATCTTTGTTCTCGTGTGTGTCAGACATTCTCCAGAGAAGGTCTGACAACTGAAATTTACACTTATATCATAAATACAAGAGTTTATGAAGTTTAACCAGCGTCTGTGCTAAGCTACTGAAACCAGTGCTTGTAACCATGACTACAGCTACAGTGGGCTTTTTCATCCACAGGCTGACTGTGAGGTTCACAGCTATCTGCCCTCCAAAAATAATAACAATAATAATAATAATAATCTAAAACAGTCTTAAGTCCTATAAGAAAGGAATATCATATATTTTACCATCTCGTAAGGTAATCCAACAAATGTTCATTATGGTCTTCCTATTACAAAATATATACATATATTTTTTGCAGTCTGCCCTAACAGACATAGAAAGGGCTAAATTTCACACTCAGGTCATCTAAGATTTTAGTTTTTTTTGTACAATTTACTATATAAACAATCAGTGTCAACACAGCTTCAATAATTTGATGTAATTTAATTACGGACTTTTTTTTGTGATTTTTTTTTACTTGTCGAATTAACGTTTCACCAGAAGCGGAATTTGCGTCAGAGTTGAAAGGTCGCCTACGTTGCTACACCGGAAACTAGCAGCTCAGAAACAAGCAAATGTCAGAAATGTCAGCAACAGAAGAAAACATAGAAATGACTCTTCCGTGTGTGCTTGTCACTAGTTGTGACAGTGAATTTAAAGAAGAAGAGCTGATTAAACGTAAGTTATTTAAGACATAACGTGTACCATGTAGCAAGTAAGCTAAACGTAGCTAGCACAGCAGGTATTTAGAGGTGCTTTGTGTGGTTGCAGCTTTGCTTAATGTAACATACCGTGTGCTATTTTCACCCCCTCAGAAATCCTTGGTTCAGAGACTTTGCCTCAGCCATCCGTACAAGACGAAACGGTCTCCTGGTATCCTTGGACCATCAACAACAAATATTATACAGCTGATGTCCGATTGTGTGCTGTACCTAGCATTTATGACATGTCATCTGAGATTGCCCAGTCTATGCAGGCTTTTATTGCTTACTTTGACAGTAAAACGGTTTGTACCCCATGAATCACGTTATAATAAAATGATATAATCTGAGTTTTTATTTCCATCACGTTTGGTTGATGTTTACAGAAAGATGGGCTGGAAAAGTTGAAGCCTTGGATTTCAGTGGTGGAAGATCTTGCTCCAGAAGTGCTCATTCTGGTTTGTGACAGAGTTTGTGAAAACGGTTAGTAAATAGTGTCCATCAGTTAGCAGGAAAAACAGTAATACAATTTGCACATCATTGCTACATTAAGTGTGTGTTTTTTAAGGTGTTACAAGACATCAAGCACAACAATGGTGTTTAGCTCATGCTTTTGAGCTTGTGGAGCTCAATCCACAGGAGCTTCCAGATGAGGATGGTGAGTTCAACTTGCAGAAGAAATTACAATCATAGTTATCTTTAACAAATACTCAGTTTGGTTTGTTTATTTATTCAATCAATCATTATTTCTTTTGTAATTTTTAGATGACTTTCCAGAATCCACAGGAGTGAAGAGAGTTGTTCAGGCGCTTAATGCCAACGTGTGGTCCAGTGTGGAGATGAAGGATGGTGAATTGATGAATTGATATTAGCTGCATATTTTGTAGACTTGTATAATTTTTTTGTGTGTATATATTATTCATGTGACTTTTTTTTTATTTCCAACAGGGCACAATCAGGGTTTTGGTTTAATGAGCAGTTTAGTGGCTTCCAGACATAACAACCCACGTTACTGCCAGGATCCAGCAGTGAGTAGATTTTTATTGTAAACATTTTCATTTTTGTGCCAATATGTAATATTCCTTGTTTTTACATCCAAAATAATTTGGTTTGAATACAATTTTTATTGAAAAATTAATTTTAAATCAATAAAGCCGTTTTTAAGGTCTGTTATTAATGCTGGTTCTGTGACAGTCCTCCAGCATACCAGCAGAGAGCACAGTCATCAATGAAGAGGTCAACCAGAGAGAAAACAGCTCAAGCACAGAATCGCAGGAGGATTCAGTAGTGGGCACGTTTTTCCCCTTTGTTTTTTATTCATGCAATTTCCAACCAAACCCTTCTGTTGACGTAAGCTGTGTTGATCCTTGCAGATGCCATGACTGATTTAGACATTCAGGAGCTTGCCCATCTCACAGCTGGAGATGCAGATGTGGATAATTTTGAACGTCTCTTTACAAAATTAAAGGAGATGAAAGGTAAACAAGAAAATAAGTTTACAATGTGAAGTTAATATTTTTTTTTGTGGCATGAAGGTCGAGTATTTGCATTAAAGGTCATATATTTTTTCCCCTTTAGATAAAGCTTGTTCATTACCTCATGAGCAGAGAAAAGTTCATGCAGAAAAGGTTTGTAGGTTAGTTTATTTCAACACAAACGAGAAGCTTGTATGGAATATTGACAATAAATTAAATTTTCAGGTGGCTAAAGCATTCTGGACAGCCATTGGTGGTGATGGCGATGAGATAGATGGGTTATCATCAGGTGAGGAGAGTCAAAGCTAATCAGCTGGGAATCCTTCTCCCTCCTGCTGACCCTCCCACCAGTCCTGGAGCTCACAAAAGCATCACTGCCCCAAGACGTCCTGATCACACCCTCGAAAGTGGAGATGCTTACAGGTGAAACTGTAGGCATAGTTGAATTTAGAAACTTTTGATTCTGAAATAAATTGTGTTCTTAAAAAAAATGATGGAAGTCCTGTTTGGAGAAGAAACCACAAGTGTTCCAGATCAGTGAGTTATTTCAAAGTTTTTAACTCAAGTGAGCCTTGGTGCTGCAGGTGGAAAACTACTAACGTGGACTTTGATTTCTTCTTTGATTTCATCTTTAGGTATTGTTGACAGGTGTCTTGTTACAAATGTGCCTTATCCCCACAAAGGCTGTAAAAGATGTACAGTCAGGTCCATAAATATTGGGACATCGACACAATGCTAACATTTTTGGCTCTATACACCACCACAATGGATATCAAATAAAACAAACAAGATGCGCTTTAACTGCAGACTGTCAGCTTTTATTTAAAGGTATTTACATCCAAATCAGGTGAACGGTGCAGGAATTACAACAGTTTGCATATGTGCCTCCCTCTTGTTAAGGGACCAAAAGTAATGGGACAGAATAAGAACCATAAATCAAACTTATACATTTCAATACCTGGTTGCAAATCCTTTGCAGTCAATTACAGCCTGAAGTCTGGAACACAGACATCACCAGACGTTGGGTTTCATCCCTGGTGATGCTCCGCCAGGCCTCTACTGCAACAGTCTTCAGTTCCTGCTTGTTCCTGGGGCATTTTCCCTTCAGTTTTGTCTTCAGCAAGTGAAATGCATGCTTAATCGGATTCAGGTCAGGTGACTGACTTGGCCATAGCAAAACAGTCCACTTCTTTCCCTTCAAAAACTCTCTGGTTGCTTTTGCAGTATGCTTTGGGTCATTGTCCATCTGCACTGTGAAGCGCCATCCAATGAGTTCTGAGGCTTTTGGCTGAATATGAGCAGATAAAATTGCCCGAAACACTTCAGAATTCATCGTGCTGCTTTTGTCAGCAGTCGCATCATCAATAACTACAAGAGAACCAGTTCCACTGAAAGCCATACATGCCCACATCATGACACTTCCAGCACCATGCTTCACTGATGAGGTGTTATGCTTAGGATCATGAGCAGTTCCTTTCCATCTGCATACTCTTCTCTTCCCATCACTCTGGTACAAGTTGATCTTGGTCTCATCTGTCCATAGGATGTTGTTCCAGAACTCTGAAGGCTTTTTTAGATGTTGTTTGGCAAACTAATCTGGCCTTCCTGTTTTTGGGGCTCACCAATGGTTTACATCTTGTGGTGAACCCTCTGTATTCACACTGGTGGAGTCTTCTCTTGATTGTTGACTTTGACACAGATACACCTACCTCCTGGAGTGTTCTTGATCTGGCCAACTGTTGTGAAGGGTGTTCTCCTCACCAGGGAAAGGATTCTTCGGTCATCCACCGCAGTTGTTTTCCGTGGTCTTCCGGGTCTTTTGGTGTTGCTGAGGTCACCGGTGCGTTCCTTCTTTTTGAGAATGTTCCAAACTGTTATTTTGGCCACGTCTAATGTTTTTGCTATCTCTCTGATAGTTTCTTTTGTTTTTTCAGCCTAATGATGGCTTGCTTCACCGATAGTGACAGCTCTTTGGCTCTCATCTTGACAGTTGACAGCAACAGATTCCAAATGCAAATAGCAGTCTTGAAATGAACTCTGGACCTTTTATCTGCTCATTGTAATTGGGATAATGAGGGAATAACACACACCTGACCATGGAACAGCTGAGAAGCCTATTGTCCCATTACTTTTGGTCCCTTAACAAGAGGGAGGCACATATGCAAACTGTTGTAATTCCTGCACCGTTCACCTGATTTGGATGTAAAGACCCTCAAATAAAAGCTGACAGTCTGCAGTTAAAGCACATCTTGTTCGTTTCATTTGATATCCATTGTGGTGTATAGAGCCAAAAATGTTAGCATTGTGTCGATGTCCCAATATTTATGGACCTGACTGTAGATTCAGATGAATCAACATGAAACTGTTGTTTTTATGAGTGTAGCGTATTTGCGAGCACTATTTAGCAACATGATTGTTGTAGCCCCATTTATTTCAAACCTATAATCAAACTTTAAAACCATTAAATCGATTACTTGGTCCTGCTTTGGGGGTAATTTTTTATATCAGTTAAAAAAACAAATGGATGAGAAAAATAGGTTCAGGAATTAAGGCTGAAGAATTCTAAACACAAAGTTATTGTCTGCTGCATTTTATTAAAATGTCATTTCAAACAATTTGATCAACAAATGCTTAAAACAGAAAACTACCTAAAAAATATCAAGCACAATAACTGAAACAAATCTACCTAATGCAGTGTAGTACACAGCATTTCAGGAAAGCACTGTTAAGAGTTTTACAGCAGCTCAGTTTGGTGTACTGTAAGTGCACAATTTACAAGGTTGCAGTAGAAACAGGGACTTAGGACAGTGAGCAGTATTATACATGCTTGTATCGATTTATCTGGGATATAAAGAGTATGGGGACTACAAAGTTATCACGACAGCTTTACACTTAGTAACACAGTAAACCAGAAGTGCATAATTTACCCACAAGGAGCAGTCATGGGCAAACAAATGGACACCTGGATGTTTGTGTGCACGCCACATTTGATGAAGCACAGCCTTTGAAGTCACACATCTAAAGTCAGTCATTTCCTCCTAAGAACTAATACTGTACATGTCACGAAAATAAAATGATACAATAATCCTGTGTTTCTGTGGAATCAGCTGACCCAGTGTGGGAAAACTTACTGTAGTTTGATGGGTTTATATTTAAGTCATAATAGTCAGGTTCACTATTTTAAGCAATCCATCAACTTGAAATTACAAGTTATAAATATTTATGTACAGCCATATTAGGCAATAATAAAAAAATATATTCCCATGCAGAATAATGTGCAAAAATAACTTATACACTGTCTCTTATTAAAGAAAAATAGTTTTGTTACAAATATTTTTTCACACTGGTGCATTATTTTACTTTTCTTACAGATAAATCCGGTGATCAGTTTCATCTTTTAATTTATGCAAACAAAATCTGTAAAGAAAAAGCAGTTTTTTACTTAAAATAATAAATATAGATTTAAAAATAGCATTTTTAACCATATTTATTATGTTTCAGTTGATAAATGAACTCTCCCATTTAGTAAGTACAAAGTCCAGACCTAGGACCCTGATTAGGGTAATGAATACTATTAACTTTTAATTCACAGAATCAAAAAAGTACAAAACGTGATGAGCTAAATCTATATAATAAAATGGAGGGGTAAACATGCCACTATTTTCTATCAAATCTATATTCTAAATAAAGATGTATCAGAATGTTTAATCAGAAATAATTAGTTTTTCTTCTGAAACATAGTTATTAAGTGGCTGTTTCTGATAAACAATTTCTACAAAAGGATTTGACTGATGCTAAATTTGTTCAAGTTTTAAAATAATAAAAAAGTGAATCATGTGGGAGAGCAGTTGTTTGAATAGTGAAATCACCGACAGATGCTTTTTTTCTATATGGGTTTGCATGGTTGTGTGTCTGGGACTGCTCTTTTTAAGACGTGCTGGAGCAGTGGATGTCAGGAGAGCCCATTTGTATGAGGACCTTGTCCAGCCACTGCAAAGGACCATTCAGATGTAGTTCGATCCAGCAGGGGGTGCTGGTCACCGTCTGGCGTCTGCAGGACACAGAAAACCAGGAGATTATAAATGTGAAGTCCATCTAACACATTATGTAATTATAGTCGTAAATATAAACCCAGCCTATTATTTTTAATTGATTTAAAGCCGCTAAGGTAAATCTACAGAACAAGATAGGTTTTGAATGCAAACACGGTTACGAAACACTCACCCCTCCCCTTAAGTATCTTCCTGAGACGCTTCTGCCAGAACCGGAAACCCATGTTGCCGGAGGAAACGAGATAGTCCTTAACACCACTCACTATTTTCTAGGTCCAAACGTCTTATATTGTCTGTGACTTCAAACATTTTCATTCTTTTTGGGTGTTCTTTTACAAAACACGCGAGTGCATAATGAATGGAGAACCCATGGGAGTGCAGCGGTTCAGCGAGACCAACAACCGGATCGTCCAATACTCGTTTTAAATCTGAGGTGTGTTATTGGCCGAGGTATTTAAACAAATGCAAGATAACAACTTTGATTTTTTAACTTTTTTCTTATGTTAGAACGTTGTTAACTCATTAACTGCCAATGACGACTAAAGTCGTCATTTGCATTTTTATTTACTGTGTGGGCGTCGAAACGAGCCCCCGCACCGTGTGAACAAACATCCCAGCTCTAAAGCCAATCTCCATCCACATACATCGCACGTCACGTGATCAGGAAGCAGAAAATCCATGTGTTAGGAGATCATTTTGGGCCGCTGCTGTAAAAAAAAGTGAGGTGCGAACCGGAAAAGCTTCTTCTGATCACAGTTTAACAACGGATTATGAAAGAACGGATAACGCTCGAAATGCGCGGATTCTTCCTGATGCAAGAAGTGAGTCTCCTCTTTGTTTTGTTACTTTTGGCGTGAACATCATAGAGCGCAACGTTCTATGACTTAAAAACCAGTAAAAACGCTGAAAATTGCTGGCAGCAAAGAGCTTTTCTGAGCAGGAAATGGCTGGCAGTGAATGAGTTAAGAGGCATGGGCAAATGTTTTAGGTTAATTTGTTTTCCAAATTTGCCATGGCACCTTTAACATCAACTCTAGAGGCTATTTCTGAAGTCATTCAAGACTTTACGAAGGATGTTTCCCTCCAAGGTGTTTGGTGCCAGAAATACAACACGCTCAGCTCATGATCCAGAAGACCCCCCTCCACATGTCCTCTTCCATGTCCCTCTACACCCATGCATGCCTGCTGAATTCTTCTACTTCTCCTGCAGACTCACAGCTACACCCTCTCCAACATCCTCCTCATTTTCCTTAATAAATGCTCTGATAGGATTTTTAATAAGAGTACATAGAGCTGGTTAGAGATAGTTACAATTACAAATACAACTATGTCAATTAAAAATCCCCAAACTACATACATTACTTTTACGTCTGTTCATCCTCTAGTATTCTGTACCACTAATTTTAAATCTTGTAAAGATTACAGGACTTCTGAACTACAGAACCTGAATGTGTCCCAGAAACTTGGAAGAATCTGACAGATGATGAATTTAGTTCAGTTAATCTAGCTATTTAGCATTTTTTTTAAACATCTCAAATATATTTTAATACCTCTAATGTCTTTATTAATGCCAAACATCTTAGGGCTTATTGTTATAAAAACTAATTATTAATTAAAGCAATTTTAGTTACTGAAACTATGTTTACATGTGCATCTAAAGCCTGATATATACTTCTCCGTCAGCTCCAAAAGGGAGACACGCACGTACGGAGACATTTTGCCCTCATACTTCTCCGTCTCCAGGGGAGTGTTGCAAAGCAATTCCCCGCCAGGACAACAGAGGGCGTAGCGCTGTTCTGTGGTATCCTGTTATGTATCTGGTCCAAGATAGTGTGTTTATATTGTGGTTTTTTTTTTTTGTGTATACGAGGCTTTTTAACACAGACAAATTGTCAGTCATCCTCCTCCACCTCTTCGTGCGCTCGCCACCTCTAAACCCACGTTTCCTGTCATTTCCGTCCACAAATAAAACGCTTGCTGCGTATCTTTTCACTCCTCCAGTCATGGGGGAATTAAACGTTCATATTTTTAGAGTTTTTTCGCTAGGTATTCTTCAAGCTGCTCCGTGTCTGCTGCTAGTTATCCTTGGCTCTCTTTGTTTTTGAGGGCGCAATGACGGCGGTGTAGACGACAGCGGTGCCCTGACCAATCACAAGCTTGCGTTCTCTGTCTCGACGGGCGGATGTTTAGAAAAGAGAGCTCGACTCCGTCCTTGCAAGCCTGCTGGAGAATCCTTGCAAGGACAGATAATGGCGTTGTGGCATCCATCATGGAGCAGACAGAGAAGTATAATTTAGGTTTTAGTCGATCTAAAGTAATAAACTGGGAGCGTTTATCCTAGTTTACGTGTACATTAGAAAACCGACCTCTCAAATGAAGTTCATTACACTCTGGAACAGTAGGTGGCGACATGCACCCTTTTGTGTTGGCATTCATACAGTTAGCTTGTAGCAACACAAACAGTAAACAAACGCTTGTTAAAACAGGATGTGCACAATGGACGAAAGAATGGAAAACAGCAATGCTGCAGCACAGCGTACTTGTTACAAACTGTACTGTTTGATAGTGTTACACATGTTTAAACCAGAAGAGCGCTCCGCTGTCTCGTCACTTCCGGAAGTTACCGGTATCAGCCCGACTGAGCCGTTTACATGCAGATGCAGTCTGGTTCCTACCGCATTATCTCAATGCTTCAGCACGATTAGAACCAGTTCACCTTCAGCAAGAGTAACGTGTTTACATGCATTTAAAAGTAAATAAATAAGTAAAAAAACAATGTCAGTCTATTTAGGGCAATGGTTTGGTTTTCTGATGTGCATGTAAACACACTGAATGTCAAACGGATTAAATAAGCAAAAGGTTTTGGGATATATTTACCTGTACTCTGCTCCCCAGCCCTTCACAAAACTCATGCGAATGGTGCACATCCTGGTGAGCTGGTAAACGGCCTCAAAGCCCTGGTTGACTGACTGGGCGAGAAGGGCTGCAAATTCTTGGTTGTTGAAAATCTTAAGATTGCAACCTGACAAAATAGTGCACAGAACACATTACCTCAAGTCCATGTTGCATTACAGCGGAGTTATTTTGTAGATCAAATTCTGGTGTGTTTAAATTTTAATCCCAAGCTGACCTGAAGGTATTTTGCACACAGTGGCTGGATGCCAACCATAACGTTGGTTACAGTTTGGACTTTGGACAAAGATGGCACTGTCGCTGAGACACTCTGCAAACACTTCCCCTCCGATGTAATACAATCTCACACCTTGGCCTGAAAAGAGAACAGAAAACACAAATGGCTGAGCACATTTTTCAAAGTCCAATTATTTTAAAAGCTTCAAAACGAAAAATTTGTACCAATATGTCTTCGAGTGACCTCTACTGCTGTGTTGCGGTTGACGTTGGACAGCAAGCCCAGACAGAAGCGTTCAGAGTTGGAGGGGTCCGTGAATCCATCTACTGTCAGAGACGGCTGGGACGCATGGAAGGTCTCTCCAACACGCTGGTTCAGCTCATAGTAGGAGATGGAGCACCAGAACGCAGACTCACAGTACGTCACGGGCTGTAAGTCTGGATCGGTGGAGAGATGAAGACATATTTACAGATAAAAGCTAAAGCTACGTCACTGAAAGTAAAATTTTTATAAGAAAGCTCTATTCTACGTACACAAGACGGCTGATAAAACACAAAAAACTTTGATGACAAATCTACAAAAGCAAATCCAAACTAACACATGACAAATGTAGTCCGCTTACCAATACAACGCCCAGTTTTATCAGTTTTGTTTGGTCTAAATATCACCTAAAACAAACTGGTAATCTATCAAACAAGCCACAATAACTTTAGATTGAGCTAAGGGAGAACACTTTAAATATCAATGTCCTGCAATACAGTAAAGACCATAAAAGCAGGATATTTTAAATGTATTAGCAACAAACTACAATGCTGCAAATGATTTGACCGCATGCTTGAGTGAAAGGCAGCAGAATTTTAGAGATGCAAAATCAAGAAACTCAGGAACAAAAAAAATCTTTTTCTGGGTGAGGTGATCATATGTGGCTTACCTGCAGATATGCATCTAAATATATGTGAGTACCATCACTCTTACAATATTTCTTTAATGAGATTTTAACATTGCAAATTGGAAATAAAAAAACAAATAGAATTTCAAAAGTTTTTATCATAAAGCAAAGCAAGAGAGCAGTACAGCAGGAAATGAGCTAATCTGACTCAAAAACAGAATAATGGCAAACTCAGACTCCTATTTTGTATTAATGATCTAGAAAACTCAAAATGGCAAAAACAGGATTATATGAGTGGATGGTGAAGTGCTGGGAAGATTTACACTAAACCGGAGAACAGCGTTAACTACTGTTGATATATTTATTGTACACTAATAAATTACACAGAAAACATTTAAAACTTTAACTTCTAACAGCTCAGTTTTACTTTATAACCCCAGCTTTCCACTGAAAACAAATGGTAGCCTAACATCCGCAGTAGCAGAATATGTAGCCATTATGGTGGATGGGTGTGTTTCCACCGGTCACAAAGTGTGTTTTGGAGGATTCCCAGGAGCGTCACTTCACCAATTTATGCTTCAGGTGTATTTTTTACAGGTCACACTTCCAGAACACATCTAGCTCAACAGCTCAGAAAGAGGCCAGACAGGCGGTCAAACACCAGGGTGCTGTAAAACATCTGGCACCTTTCAAAATAAAAGACACGGGCAAGATTTCCAGTTGCTTAACTAGTCAATAAAAATCCATCTTTTCTTGTGAAACCTCCATGGTCGACCGTGATAAAAAGAACAGAAAATAAACCAGACCTTTTGGATAAATTATGCCGTTTTTCTCCTAGCTCGTTTTTACGAGAACTACTGAAATCACGCGTGATCTTGTAATTCTCCAATCATTTCAGGACCAGCTGCGTGGAAAGCATTCGCTGCTGATTTGCATGTGAAACGCTCCCGTAAAGAACACTATCTCATTATTACGTTACATGCTGCTTACGCATCCGGTAGAAAGCACGGGTATGGCAAGCCAAATGAGCATTTATTCTGATATCAGGATATCAGCCAGAATTGTCATGAACATGTAAGCCATTTCTGTCCACTAGTTAACTAGTTAGCCATGTTTGTGTCAACTAGTTAAATAGTGACAGCCTAAATGTCAACTAGTTAACTAGTAAGGCCTAAATTCTCTCTAGTTAACTAGTTAAAATGTTTCATATCTTACTAGTTAACTAGTATTGCTCAGTGTGTTCACTAGTTAACTAGTGGACAGATCAATGTCCACTAGTTAACTAGTTAAAACACATTTAGTTTTTACTAGTCAACTAGTAAGGTACAAAAACTCGTACTAGCTGACTACTGAATGTAAAAATCCCACTTGTTAACTTTGCCCAATTTGGCCAGCCGCTTGAGCATTAATTCTGATATCTTGTCAACAGGTCAACTAGTTAACTAGTGAGGGTCAAACTGTACACGCTAGTTAACTAGTGAACACATTTTGACCTTCACTAGTTAACTAGTTGACACAAAAATGGCTCATTAGTTAACTAGTAAAGGCCAAAATGCATACCAGTCAGCTAGTTGAAGGTATTTGTGTCTCACTAGTTAACTAGTCAGGGTCAAAATGAGCCCACCAGTTAACTAGTGGGAGACGGAAATGTTCACTAGTTAACTAGTGAACACATTTTGGCTTCACTAGTTAACTAGGTGACACAAAATGGCTCACTAGTTAACTAGTAAAGGCCAAAATGCATACCAGTCAGCTAGTTGAAGGTTTTTGTGTCTCACTAGTTAACTAGTGATGGCCAAAATGTGCACACCAGTTAACTAGTGACAGAAGAAATGCCCACTAGTTGACTAGTGAACACATTTTGGCTTCCTAGTTAACTAGGTGACACAAAAATGGCTCACTAGTTAACTAGTAAGGGCTAAAATGCATACCAGTCAGCTAGTTGAAGGTTTTGTGTCTCACTAGTTAACTAGTGACAGTTCAAAGTGTCCACATGTTCACTAGTGAAGGCAAAACTCCTAACTAGTTAAGTAGTTGGAGTAGGGCAGTGCCACTAGTTAACTAGTGAACCATTAATGACTCACTAGCTAGCTAGTTGATTGTAGCAGGCTCACTAGTTACCTAGTTGATGCATCCATTGTCCAAACTAGTTAACTAGTGAGGACATAAATGTATACTAGTAAACTAGTTCAAGCCTACATTCACACTAGCTAGCTAGTTGCACAGAATTCTAATTAGGAGGCAGAGAATTTCTCAAATTGAGGCTTTCTATTGGCTCACTATGTTAAAATAAAATATGACAACCAATCACAGTGCGGAATTTTGCAAAATCCCACCCCAAACATTTGCATGCGGCACACAAGTTAACATGCTGGCCAGAGGAACCTCAGCTAGTAAACTAGTAGTGGCTTCAGTGTGACACTTACATGTAAACTTGTGAAGGCGGAACTGCTCACTAGTTAACTAGAGAGGGTACAAATGTCCACTAGTTAACTAGTGAGGTGCAAAATAAGTGTCACTAGTTCACTAGTGGGCCCCAAAACGCCCACAAGTTAACTAGTAAGGTGTGGATATGCTCACTAGTTAACTAGTGAGGTGCAGATTTGCTCACTAGTTAACTAGTGCACCCTTAAGCGCCCACTAGTTAACTAGTAAGGTGCAACAAAGCATCACTAGTTAACTAGTAAGGTGCAGATATGCTCACTAGTTAACTAGTGGGCCCCAAAACGCCAACTAGTTAACTAGTAGGGTGCAGATTTGCTCACTAGTTAACTAGTGAGGCACAGATATGCTCACTAGTTAACTAGTGACGTGCAGATTTGCTTACTAGTTAACTAGTGAGGCGCAGATATGCTCACTAGTTAACTAGTGAGGTGCGGATTTGCTCACTAGTTAACTAGTGAGGTGCGGATTTGCTCACTAGTTAACTAGTGAGGTGCAGATTTGCTCACTAGTTAACTAGTGAGGTGCGGATTTGCTCACTAGTTAACTAGTGAGGTGCGGATTTGCTCACTAGTTAACTAGTGAGGTGCAGATATGCTCACTAGTTAACTAGTGAGCATATCTGCACCTCACTAGTACCTCACTAGTTAACTAGTGAGCATATCTGCACCTCACTAGTTAACTAGTGAGGTGCGGATTTGCTCACTAGTTAACTAGTTGCATCTAAAAACACATACAAGCTGACCATTTTTGTCCACTAGTTAACTAGTGGAACAATAGAAATTTCACCAGTTTACATGTGTGGCAGTGCAGCAGCTCACTAGTTAACTAGTGCCTGAAACACAAATTATGCATATTCTAATGAGAAGGCGGGCAGAAGACTCCTGTTGGGTATAAGAATCCCACCCAGTCTAAAACGTATGTGCTGTGGCCTCACAATCTGATGGGTGTCCCTGAGCGCCAAGGCTTGCACTCATTAGTCATGGTTTGACACCTACTGGTTGGTCGTTGCGGCGGGTTCGAATCCCGCAGATGGCATTCCGCAATTGCTGTAACATTATTTATTTTCTCTTTGTGTTGTAATGTTCAAAGTTTTATTGTTTTAATGCTTTTATTCCCCCCTCCCAAATCAAGTAAAGCACCTCGTTTGGTGTCGTGTAAGGGAGATCAGTTGGCGAGTTCAAGTCCCATTGAGGAGAATTGGAATTTAGTGTGCCAGTAATTTTATTGTAGTTCATTTTTGTTTGGTATTGAAAGTTTGGTATTGAAAAAGGCTATATTAAAAATAATTATTGATATATATATATATATATATATCCATCCATCCATCCATCTTCCCAAGAAATAGATCAAATGACACTGAGGGAAAAAACTGTGGTTATTTTGGAGAGGGTGCTGGCTGCAAAACCACAAAGGCGGAGCTGCACCCCGCCCATTCACGCAAACTCAGCCTAGCCCACTGACTTCCGTTTTTGTTTTCAACTTTATCGCAAACTGACCTGACCCACATGAATTACGGCTGTTACTAGTTTACAGTCGTTAATGCTATGTTCTATACTCCAATTAAACAAGATAAATATAACTTGCTACATGACAAAGACTGAATATATCTCGAAATGAAAAGGTTTCTTTTAGCGAATATCTGCCTACAGCTGGTCTAATAAAAGTGGTTTACAACAGCACTTCAATCTATTGAACGGCCTCTGGTAGTCTAGTGGTAAAATCGTCTGAGTTGGTTTTTGCTTTCCCCTCAGCTGATGCTGGTTCGATTCTCGGTGGGGTCATCAGCAGTCTATTTAGCCACATTCAATTTGTTTATATTTTAGTTGTAATGTTTCTTTTCAGCAAAATATTTATGTCGCTAAAAGTTCTTTGAATTTGGTCGTTCCTAAACAGCATTTTAGTTGAAACTCTGCTCACAAATGGACTCACACTGGCTAAATAAACGAATAAATAAATAAATAAACACATTATATGTTAAACGGTATACCAGTAAATTGTTGTAAACATAGTACTGGCAAGTGTAGCTAGAAATGAAGAAAAGAGGTTGTAAACTACCTAAAACTTACACTACTGGGAGGCGAAACAGCATGTCAACCTGACTCC